TCAAATACAACGAGTCCATCGCGTCAACTATTTGTTGATATCGGCAACGAAGCTATTAATGGAGCATCAATATATCATCGGATTCAATAACTGATGCGTTTTTACTATAGGTCTACGTACCAACCGTTTTCGAGAACTATGTCGCCGATGTCGAGGTTGATGGAAAGCACGTCGAGTTGGCTTTATGGGATACGGCTGGACAAGAAGATTACGATCGTCTCAGACCTCTATCATACCCAGATTCGCATGTCATCTTGATCTGTTTCGCCGTTGACTCCCCTGATTCCCTTGACAACGTTCAGGAGAAGGTACGATTCAAACAATATTCCATCTCCCGTTGCTATGATAAGACAACTGCTGACACGTGCCTAAACAGTGGATCTCTGAAGTCCTCCATTTCTGCCAGGGCCTCCCAATCATCCTCGTTGGATGCAAGAAGGATTTGCGCCACGACCCAAAAACCATTGAGGAGCTACACAAGACCAACCAAACCCCGGTCTCAGAAGATCAGGTAAGGATATATCAGATACAGCATGTTTGGAGGACGCCTGCGTGACAGAAGGAAAATGAAATTGAAGAAAACATGCTAACTTTTCTCTTAATAGGCTCAACGTGTTGCTGATAAGATTGGTGCTTACAAGTCTCTTGAGTGTTCAGCAAAAACCAATGAGGGTGTTCGTGAGGTTTTCGAACATGCTACCCGTGCTGCACTCTTGACCAAGAAGGAGAAGAAGAAGAAGTGTATTGTCCTATAAAGCTCCTGTTATCGACTCTTCTCTTTTTCTAATGCGATCGGATTTTATTTTACTGCGAAAGTAGCTCGCTCGGCTGGGTGATTGATTTCATGCTAGCGACAAGGGATATGTGCTACAGACTGTGCATGGCTCCTCTTCATCGGCAGCAAATCTATCATCTTTTTGATTGATAATATCCTGAAGTTCCTCGCAACAATACCGAGCACTATTTCTTTACTACACATCTGGTTTCGACACAAATACCTCGGGGCATATGAACGGACGAATATGTCTCTTTTTTTCCGCAAATTGTGCCACGCTAGCTTTTTCTCTGTGTCTGTCTTTTTTTCACGCAAGATCTTTGTTCTTTCCTCTCATCTTCTTTCTCATGCGTGCGGTCAAGAATGGATCTGAATCATAAGGGTGCTTGCTGCGTTACGTTTGTTCTTCTTCATCGTTGCTTCTTGCGTGTGTAAAGGGGGGGGGAGGGGGGGGTAGTGCAGGGCAGGGCAAGGAGGATAGGAATTGAATGGACCTCGCATTTTTGTAAGGTGTAATAGCAATAGGCGTAGTCTATCAAGAGATGTTTTTTGAGGTCTGATTGCACCAATATACTCGAGGCGTTTTTTTTTTTTTTTCATCTCTTTTCTTTTCATTACAAGATATGGTTGAGTATTAATGGATGGGTAAATAGGTGGTAATGATTCTTGCATTCTTTTCTACGTGATGTCTTGATATGTATTATGTGTCTGCTCTGCTTTGTGAGTGAGTTAAGTGATTTAATTTTGGTTCATATTCATCTGCTAGTAAGCTTGTGTGAGTGATGCATGTCTCTAAGTCTGTGATGTGATGTGATGTGATGATACTATAGATACTAAGCTAAGCTAAGCTAAAGTATCATAGGATCCTGCACTCGGCGATATACACTCAGAGTCTTGGATGGAGAATCAGAACTCACGTCAACCTGTGATGGATGGGTTGATGGACGACGATGCATGCATGTATGGATGGATGGATGGATGGATGGATGGATGGATGGGGGGGTGGGATATGGATTTATGGTATGTATCACGTACTCTGTGATATCGATTGAGTAAGTAGGCGGTGCGGTATATCGTTTGGTCTTTTGTCTTTGGGGTTTAATTGTTCTTTAGCATTTCATTGTATGGGTTTGTATGGAGAAATGATGTGGTACCTCGCTGCTAGTGGGGAGAGTCTTCGCGGGAGTGGTATAGAGTATGGAAAAGCTGGTGTTTACAACCAGTAGGGATTACGCTGTCGGTACGATTGGGGTAGATGAATACTTTTGATGAGGCTGTTGTAACCTTTCGATGTAGCTAGTATGGCAGCCACAGTCACCTTGGAGAAGGAAGTAGCAATAACATTAGTACACTCTTCTTTATAAGCCATGTGCTAAGAAGATTTATATCCAGTGCTATGGTCTGCAGGATGTTAGGTGGAACAAGGGATACTCTTGAAAGAGCTTCTGTCGGTACTCGAGAAGGCGAATATGTATGATCTTAAACTGGCTTGGAAATCTAGTATCAAGTACAAACATGAAAAATTGAAAGAGTACCTAAAAGCGTACGTTCATGATAAGCAACTCATAGAATTACAGTTTACAAGCTTTGAAGGCTCTTATAGGTCAAGTTCGCGCAGATTTAGAGGTACTTCAGCTACCGTCAAAGAATCAGGTGATAATTTCTTAACTTCACTTCATTTTCCACTTCGCGTACAACCAATCATCAATTTCAACTCATCTTTTATCAAGGTTCATTCTTAATCGCGAGACTGAAACAAATATGAAATAAACCATCAAGAGTTTAGAATTACTCCATAACAAACAAAACAAAACAAAAGCAGCAACCACCACTTGTAGCACATCATCACCACAATGTGTATGTTCAGGATCACGAATTACGATGAGTGCTGGGCACAATACATTCATGTATTGATTTGCTCTATCGAAACCTCCAAAAAGAATCAACTTGAATCTCCTAGACATCGCGTCAACTCGGCATTGAAATGTCCCAATTTAAAGTCGGAACATATTCACATGGGGCGCTCAAGATGTTTTTGCAAAACTCACCCATCACAAAATATGGGAGCTGTTTGTGCCAGAATGTGGGGAGGTGATTTCGTCGGCGACGTTCAATGTGCCATGCTGCCGGGTTCGGCCGTACGATTTGAATTTCGTAACCGAAAATGGCAAAATTGTACCGATGTGGATAGGTTATTAAGAGGCGGAAGTCGCTTTCTACCTGACAGTTATGTACCCAAACTGAAAACTCGAAATTGGAATGATAGTGAGTGGGATGGAGATAGCAAGCTGATAGAGTGGAGAGATACGGATTGGGTCACGTTGGCAGAGAAGGGCATGAGTATGTGGAGAAGCAAACAGAGGAAGGTAATCGGTGGTCAAGATACGGTGATGCAGGATGGAATTGAACCTTCCCAGGTCAGTCCGACTTACGAGGATGTTCAACTGGTGAAGCACGAGATGTTTTCGACCCAGCATAATCTGTCCAGACCGAAAGGCCAAATGCCTCTCACGCGGTATGATATGCAGACAAGCCGCTGTGTAGGCAAGATCAATGATGGTAAAGTAGAGTGGCGACAATCGAAGGAACAAAGAGGAGCTGTCACAAATGGCCCATACAAGCCAGCTTCTCCACCAAGCGCCGATCAGCCACAACACAAGAGACAGTCTTTAATTCTAGACATTAATCAAGCACAGCACAGAAAACAGTTCACAGCTGGACCTAATATGATGCCTACCGGGGAAAATGCGCGGTCACTAAGAGAGGAAAAGGAAAAGGGTTTTGATGAAATCCAGGCACAATTGACTGCCGCTGTTCCAACACCACAATCTATCCCAACTGGACCTAGGACGATGTCTATCCCAATTGGACCTAGAATGATGCGTACCTGGGAGGAAGTCCGACTCGGGGGAGAGAAACTTGAGAACGAGAGCAAGCAGTCTGAGACACCATCAGCCAATTACATAAGCCTAGCGGATCCGATTTCTGCTAATAAGTCGAGATTGAGGGGTGGTGATAACAGCCCGCAGTACGCAGATCGAGCTACAAACGCGGAAGCACGAGTAACAACTTCATTGGAAGTCTCTTCGGTTACTGTTTGTGCGAGTGAAACCTCCCAGGAGCGGCGCAAGAGGAAACACAAGGAAAAGAGAAACACATTCCTACAGCATACACACAAAAAACGACTTGCCGTTTGTGAGAAGAAGTTGAACGTTCAGAAACAAGAATCCGGTCAGTCTGTTCGAGATGGTACCCGAGAAGTCAATATGCATGCCTCTGTACAACAGGATGATAAACCACTGACTGCTGCGTCTCCCTACTCACCATGTATTGGAGTGTCCGGGGCGATTTCTTATTTACAAAGAATACAGATGGCCAGCCCTAATATGAAAAATAGCAGGATGCTCGGAGTGCAGATTCAAGCTAGTAGGGGCCCCAGCGAAAAGGCAGATGGAGTAGTCGAGAGTGAAGAAGGAAAGAAGAAGCGAATGACAGATATGGATATATCAATGATGGATAGCGAAGGTAAGCCGAGATGTGGAATCTGACCTTCTCAATATGTGTGATCGCCAACAAATTGACAAAATGAAGGATACATAAGGAGGAAAAGGCTGGCACGTGAAACTGAAGCACTTAAAGGTCAAGGAGAACCAATAAGCAACACAGGTGGTGATGGAGAGCAGGAGGGAGTATGAAAGCTTGTTACCAAAGTACATGAATTTGATAATCAGCTAAAGAGTAATACGGGTGATGAGGAGCTTCCAGATTACGAATCAGATAAGGATACTCCTATAAAAACTGAAGGCAACGGTCGATTGCGAAGTACAGGTATATTCTTCTCCTCTCCATCCCACCTGATTTCCATTAGCAAATATGTTTCAGCGAAACGAGACACCACCAATTGAGCCATGCTAACTAACTCTATAGCTGTAGGTCTCATTGGATCCCAACAACAACTTCAACCCTTCATTGCAGCTGTGCCGGCGGTGGTCCAGCCTAGGGATACAATCATGGAAGAAAATGGCCCGGAGACAACTGGACATGGTTGGGAATCAGCTATTTATTTGACGTCCGATTGAGAAATGGAGTGGAAGTTATTGGTGGCTTGGAGAAGGAAGTTTGTGAGAATAGTTTCCTTGCGTGAATACCTTTAGGTAAATTAGTTGGTATGATATCGAAACAAATTCTTATTGCAATTCTAACTATGAAGCCTCGCTATGTGTTCTTGATTCATGAAACATGAGCTGTGGTAATCTGTAATTCTGTTTGTGCTGTCAGTTTGCTTGTGTGGTCATAGAGGCTCGGTGATATTTTTCTGCTGAAGAATTGGGTGGTAAGGACCATGCCACTGCCACTCTTTCTACAACCCTCTAGAAGAGAATATCTCCAAGAAGGGTAGTGCTTCTTTCTTAATATAGATTGAATCTCTCAGATGCCATAAAACACAATATAAAACCCAATCCATGAACCTTCTTTGAAGTCAAGTTCCCTTTCATCATGAACCTTCCATCCAAACCTAGACACCACCAATCCCTTCCATTCACCACCATATCTCAATATCTCCTCTTAATCATCCAATAACAAAAAGGATACTGTCGCCTATCAAACAAGTAATCATGCCTCTATAGATCATCTGCTTCTCGGAAGTTAAGTAGCAATCTCCGACGCGACGAGATATTTTCACTTTCGGATTCTTCTACACCACCATTTCTTTCAACGTTGTCTTTCAAATTTTCGGGTTTCATCCTTTTATGGTATGGTATAGTTACTAACTATACATACATCTGAGAGATAAGTTCTTCTTGTATTTGAAGATATACTGATAATTTCATACATAACTTTTTGCATGTTTTTACTGTCCACCCTTCCACCTCCTGGTCGGAGGATCCGACCTCTGAGAATTCATCACCCGACGATCTATCAATCCGAATCAAACCCTCCCCTTTTCTCCCTCAAGAAGACCAACCACATATCTTCGTCGGATTATACTGCAAAGATGTGTGGAGATACTCTCATCACGTACACTGTGTGTGATTGTCAGATCATGGTCCATACTATTTGTTTTGATCACATTCAACATACTATTGCGCAGATAGATAATATTCCTTGTGGCAAGAGTAAGGGCAAAGGATTTGATGAGACGAGGTATGTACATGTATTTTAATATTACTCCTTTCATTATATTTTGAACAGCTTAGATATTCAAGTTTCGCTTGAAGTTTCTGTGTATGCTGGATTTTTCAATCAGCTCGCTGAAGTGTTCGGTGTTAAATTTCCAAGTTATACATCCATTTTACACTTCCTATTCATTCAACCTCATCCAAACTCCAATCCAACCAATCCATTCAATCATCTCCCCATTTTGCCGAAGAAAACTAACCACAATCACCCCCACAGAACCAAGCACCAAAAGTGCTTCCTCAAAGAAGGCCAAGTTCTCGAAGACGGCCGAACTTTCCGCCACGGCTCCAGTCGCACCCGTCACGTCCATGAATTTGAACGCGACCCCCATGGACCCCAAGTACGTTGGGAGCGATGGGAGCGCAAGAACCGTGAGCAGCCCCGCATGAGAAGCGATAGCCTGGAGGCCAACGTCAGTGCTGGCGAGGACAGGTATGATTCTTTTACTTTTCCCACAATTTGCCAGCAAAACTTAACACTGCCTAAGTTCTTGACTGTGACTGTGACTGTGACTGACCATGTGATATGTATGATAGGATGAAAACAGAAACTGATGATGGTGATGATGGTGACAGCCACAAGGAGCGAGACCCGAGAGTTAGGGAATGGCAAGAGAAGACGAAGAAGTCTCGAGAGCCGAGAGTTAGGATCGAGAAGGAAGTTCAGAAGGAACAACCGGCAGCGGGACGAAAGACTGTTAATCATGTTCTTTGCGAACCTCCCAGCGACGACGAAGATTTGAGTGATGATGAATGGCCGGTCTCAGAACCCAAGTACATGCTCCTCCCCCCCCCTCTCTCGCTCTAAATCATTCAAAATGAAATACTAACACCCCCACCCCAGAATCAAAATCGACACCGGCGATACCGTCCCCTGGTCCTCCACCCCCTCGCGCTCCTTCTCCGACCCCACAGTCGCCAACGACACCAGCAACCAAGCAACCGGTACCTCATACAGTCGAGTCAAGAGCCGCGATGACGGCAGCTACCACAAAGGAATCCAAGCAGCCGACACCTGGCGACCTCCCCCCCGCATCGAACGCCCCACCACCCCCTTCAACTTCGCCACTCCCGCCACCGGCACCCACACCTACATGAATTCCGCCCCGTACTCACGTCACGATACTCGCTCTCCTTACAATGGTCCCAATACGCATCTTGGTTCTCCCAAGTCCAAGTCCAAGGGTTCGGGTCATGGTCACGGGAAAGGTAAAGCGCCAAAACACGATAATTATCGACCTCACTATCCTGCTCATTCACCTGATGTAAAGAGCGCTTTTTACGCTAGTGCGCAGTACCAATTCTCTACTAATGCCAATGGTAATGCAAACGCAAACGCAAACCCAAATGATCTCCCACCCTACTCACCAACCTCCTCTTCACTCCTCACGCCCTACGGCCTCGCATCCGAAACAGCAGGCTACAGCGGACCATCTGGCTACGCGCCATTGCCATTCGGCGATTTAAGTACGGCCAGCGGATACATTGGTTATGGTCCTGCATATGCAGACAACCGGAGTGTATATGGAAATTTCGGTGCAGTGGAGAGTTATGAGCGGGAGAAGAGGAATGTTGGGGGTGAGAAGAATGGAAATGGAGATAGGGATAGGGGTGAGGAAGTATCAGGAGCGAGAAAATTGATTGGGGAACATATGAGTGATGTGATGGATGAGGACGCAAAGAAGGCTGTGGAAAATACGCATGCGCATAGGGCTCAGAACGATGTTGAGATGGGAGGCGAGTGACTGGGTAGTAAGTGTCAATGGCGTGTGGATGGATGGTAGATCTGGATCTGGCTGTGCGAACTTTCGAGAGTGTTGATTGCATTGCATTGGATGCATTTCAAGATCCGTTCATGCTTTACTTTACTTTACTTTGCGTTAGTTTCCTTGGCCGTTGCGAGCGAGAGGGAGTCTGCAATGCAAATAGGTACTAACTAGCACCATTACAATTACCAACACCAATACCAATACCAATACTAATACCAATTGCATACCATACACCGATACAATACAATTCAGATCAAAATACAGATCAATTTCCTTCTTCTTTTCCTTTCCCTTCTCCTCCTGCCTCTAGTGAGGTGAGGCAATGCAAGGCACAAGCAAGTCTCAAGACCTTTCTTTCTTTCTTTCTATGTACCCTCAACCCCTAAGTAAGGGATATCTACCACGTGGTGCATCGAGGTAGTTACTCACTCCTCGCGCGGTAAAGATATGATAGTGGGAAGAGGAATGAAAAAAAGTAAGGAGAATAAGAATGAGGAAATATCCATTTCTTTCACGATATACATACATATATAACTCTACAGCCAATATGAGTGAGTGCACTAGATATGAGTGAGAGCACTAGCCTCATCTATCACAAATCATCATCATCACCATCACATCACACTGGAATACCAATCCAATCTTCTTTATGTTTTAACATGTTTTTTTTTCAATTTTCATTACTTATTTTCGTTCTGTACATGTGTTCGTTGGTTTTGCACAATCGCCTTGTTTCGCTGTTCGAATTCATCTTGCTCATCTCGCTCATCTTGCGCAGTCCTCACTCTCCCCCCCTCTCTCCATCTCTCTCCTTGTCTCATCCACCACTCCACAGGCACTCGGAATTGTCGCGAGGAATATTTTTCTCAAACATATGCAAAAGCTATGCAGCAACCATCCACTATTTATCTTCATCTACCACGCCATAAAACGCCATCTGATTGCTCAGCTTATCTCCCGAACTTTGAAGTCTCAAAAAGAAGGGTACAAAAGGAGAGAAATAAGTATCTCCTCCATCCAGGCCGTTATCATGATTCTAGCAATGCATAAACTAAACAAGTTATCATCGCATGGAGGGTGAGAAAGAGGTGTGGTGAAATAAAAGTGCGAAGAAAGAGTAACTAGATTATTTAATCATACAATGTGAAAGAGAAGAAATTGGTCCACCGCCAACGCGTGATGTCGATCAGGAATGAAGAGATCATTGGGCTTAGGGGCCAATAGGAGGAGGAGCATTGCCCACAACCTCGTTTTCACCTATTTTTGAGAAGGTTTTCGGGGACCCAATTTTGATGCCAATGCTTCTTTCAACAACTTGGCCGCATCCGCCACTTGTTTAGGATCGTCCTTGATGCCTTTCAAATTATCGAGCATTAAACGGATCGCTGTGGTTGGAGCGTTGCAAGGACAAGAAGGCACCAATCTGGTATAAACAAAGTTGCAGTGTGGGCAAGAGTGTACGTTAGGTCGAATTGACATTGGAGGCATTGGTGCAAGTGTCACGGGGTAATTTGGCTGAGACGACGTGGACCCAGAAGGGCGTCCTCGTTTGCGCTTCACGGGTACCTCGATGGCTGGGGTGGATCGGATGACCGGACTTGATGGTTTTGTGTCTGAATCAAGCTGAAAGGATTCCTCTGCATGTTGTCCAGATGGTCCGCTAAGTGGCTTAGTCATTATGGAGATGTGTTGTGATAAAATCTGGGATGAAGTTCCTATGGGGAGGGGTGGCGGAAATCGTGGTATTTCATGTGAGCGTCCTTGTTCTTGGAGCTCACGCGCTTCTCGAGCTTGCGCCTCTATTATCTGTTGTTGAAGATCTTGGTAATAGTCCTGTTTCGCTCGTTCCATGTTCTCTGGGATATCCAAGTCGAAGATGAGTCCGGTTATTTTACGTTTCTTGTAAGGTCTTTTCTTTTTCTGCTCGCTACTGGTTTGTCCGGATGGTGCGCCAAGTGGGACATCCGGAACTTGGATGAGGTTTGCTGAAGGGTCTACAGCCGCTCCTTGGTTCTCGCGTTTCTTATACGGTCCTCGCTTTCTTTGCTCGTTATTATTTTGTCCTTGTTGTCCTTGGTGTACTTGTTGCAATTGTTGTCTATATGAAGGGTTTGGATCATCCTGGCTGTGGGTGGCTTGTAGTTGTTGTGGATATTGTTGATTTGCAGAGGACTGTGGTTCTGGCCAAAATCGTTGAGCCTTTTGCTCAACTTGATCCCACAACCATGGTCCTTTGTCCATTTCCGATCGTACGGATTGCAGCACAATTCTACATTCTTCCTCAATATCATCCTCCTTTTGAGCCGATTGTTCGAAGTGTTGTAAAAGTCGATTGAAGTCCTCGAAGAGTCTGTGGCCTTGATCATGCCACTCTTGTGCGTGCCGAGCAGTTATAAATACACGATTAGTACCAATGTTCACTATTGACCATTGTTCATAGTCTTTGACACATTTTTCGAATGAGACTGCTCGTCCTTGGTGGTCCCCGATATAGTTATCAACTGCATGTTATTAGCGGATTGAAACCCATTTTTATATGCAAACTTTTTTCAGCAATCGCAAATGAATCTTGAGCAGAAGTAGAAAGTATAGAGGATGGTTCGGGAAGTCCTGTTCCTTGACAGAATCTAAAAACAGCATCGCATAATTATGAAAACCGTTTGATGTAACATTCTGCAATGAGCTAGAAATTGTCGACCCTTTGACGGGTCTATTTGAAGCATTGGCCTGACTGTTTGGCTTATCTAGAAACGCCTTTGTCGAAGCTTGCTTCTTAACGGTCTCGGAGTTCTGCAGATGCGCCAACTTTTGACGGACATCTATTGCGGGTAGATTAAATGACGAATTAACGCCATTAAATGGCTTTGTATCTTCACCGCGAATTGATTTCACGAGAAGATTTTTATGGTCAGGTTTTCTTGGTTTAATCACAGAGCTGTCTGGCTTTTTCATCACAGAGCTATCTGGTTGTTTCTTAGAGCCTTGCTGCTGCTTACCCGATTTTTTAGGGGATGGAATTGTGAGAGTAAGCGATCCGAGGCGTGGTTTGTTGCCGCCTTGAGCATCCATTTTGCGTTTTGACTTATTGGAAGATTGACGTGCGTAAACAGGACTTTTTGATTTCATACCTTTCACACCTGGCAGGCCTATATCCAATTCTCGAGGATCAACATTTTCATATGCGTCGGATTCCTCAGCTTCGGATTCCTTTGCACCATGACCAGGAAATTCATCATCGCTATGGGGCTTTCGAGCTCGGCGACCATTTTTTTGAGGCGAGTCCTCAGGATCGTCCAAGTCCATTAGTTCAGGCTGTGACTTTTCGTAGTCAACGGTCTAGAAAATTAGTAAAAGCCTATTGCAAGCGTGTTAGGACGAACTAGAATGGAACGTACCTGTCGAGCGCGCTTTCCTCGACCAAACGTTTGCATGTTCTTAGCAGCTTCGAGAGCAGCATCCGCCTCACGTTGTTTCAAGATGGCAAGCCATACTGATTCATTGGGGGCAGCTGAATCAGCATCAGGATCTTCAACATCATCTGACAGAGCTCCCTTCCCCTGGGCCCATACACGAGCATGTGAAAATTGAGATTCTGCGGTTTTGTCGTCGTTAGTATCAGTGGTTTCGACTTGAGCTCGATCGAGAAGTTTGTCAACTGATGCCGAATCGTAATGAATATCATTCCTGTCATCGTTAAGGAAGAGCGCTTCTGCACCATGCTTGAGAATCGATTCGAGATCAATCCCTGCATCGGTCTGCGCATCCATGCTTTCAATGAGAGCTTGATCAAGGGCCATTTTCTTACGTCCAATCTGAACAATCTTCTCTTCTGCACTATCCTTGGTCATTAGTTGGAAGACAAGTACCTTTTTCGTTTGACCAATGCGATGAGCTCGTGAAAGAGCTTGAATATCTTGATGAGGGTTGAAATCAGGATCCATGATTATGACAGTATCTGCAGTTGCCAAATTGATGCCAACGCCACCAGCTCTGGTAGAAAGGAGAAACGCAAACAGTGGTGAGTTGGGGGCATTAAATGCATCAATTCGCTTTTGCTTTTCAAGTGTGCTGACCGTACCATCTAAGCGCTGAAAGGGAAGGCCAAGGCCATTCAGAAAGTCTTCGACAAGATCGAGTTGATTAAGAAATTGACTAAAGATGAGAACTCTATGTCCTCGAGCTTGCAACTTCGGGAGCATCAATTCCAGTAATTTAAACTTGGAGGAGGCATCGATCAGATTTCGATGGAGAGCTTCCTGACTCAATGAAGTCTCCTCAACAGCCGAACTATACAAGAAAGGATGACAAAGACATTTACGAAGTTGCATCAAGATATTGTTCAGATTTCCTCGTTCCGTAGGGCGAAGAGTATTCTTCGTCTGACCAAGGATTGTCATGATTAACTTTGGGTTCTTTGCCAAGATTGACTTGTAAAGTCTCTTCTGAACGACACTCATGGTGACCGGTAAGATTACCTGCGCCATAGGTGGCAAAAATTTCAGCACCTCTCGTTTGGTGCGCCTCAAGAAGAAAGGTCGGATGAGCTTATGAAGTTCTGGCAAGTTTTCTTTTGTCAGCTCAGCATATTTTTCGTCCAATTTCGCGGCATCAATGGAGCCGTCTAAGAACTGAAGAAGGTTGAAGAGCTCCCGCTTGTTATTCTGCAAGGGCGTACCAGTAAGTAGAACCTGGAATGGCACTTTCAAAGCTGTTAAGGCACCATAAAGAAGATTACCATCGTTCTTCAGCCGTTGGCCCTCGTCAACGATCATGCCAGCCCATTTGACTTTTTTGAAAAAAGCCCGGCTGGAATCGTCGACTGGTGCCTCATATGAAGTTACCACGACATGAGCACGAAGATCAGAGCAGCCATTCGGATACAATTCATACTTCATGGCCATCTCTCGCGCCGATTTAGCACCATAGTATGCAACGACACGGAGGTCAGGTGCCCACTTTTTGATCTCGCGGCGCCAGTTTGGACAAGTCGAATTTGGCGTTACGACAAGAAACGGCCAACACTGACGAGTTTTTAGTAGGGTCACTCGAGTATTTAGTGTGTGCACCTACCTTTGGTTTGTCCTTCACAAGTGATACGATCAAGGAGATGATCTGAATCGTCTTTCCAAGTCCCATCTCATCGGCCAGAATGATGTTCTTTTGCTGATGGAAATTATACAGTAGCCAATTCAGACCATCCATTTGGTAGCCCATCATCTCGCCACCGATCAACGATGCGGGCTGTTTCTTTAGTACAACCTTCTTCTGGAAGTTCAAAGACCGAAATGCATCGATGCGCTCTTTTAAAGCACTTGCAGGCGATTGCTTAAAGTACTTGCCCATGACATATTCATTGTAAGCTGAGACGAAGTCACTCCAGCGATCAGCGACATCTGGGGATGGAGGTTCCTCCCAGACAGATTCATCATAGGTTAACCCTCTAAACTTAACCAAAACCTGAACAACGTCATCAATATGAGCTTTGTCATAGGCTTCAGATTTTGGTTGAAAAGAAACGTCATACTCGACATCGAACACAATCTCCATTCGCAGGAATTCCTCGGGAATTGCCTCTTCTTCATCCCATTTTGGAAACAGATTGGCGCCCTCATCTCGACGAATGAAGGCTTTGCGCATAGAACCTGCTGCAACGCCCCAAACCCATGCACCAGGCATCCAAGAGCATTGAAAATACGACTTGTCATCCCATTTGACAAGGTATTCTTTCTCATCCTCACGAAAAGCGTCAAATTCATCACCTTCCGCATAAGATTTGCGGTCTGATAGTCTCCATGCAACTAAAGTTTGCAGTTTTGCAGTAGTCTCGGAGCATTCTTTGCACTGCCAATTCTTAGAATACCTTTTGAGTCTTTGAGAGCGCAGCTGTTCCGTATCCTGCGGCGTGGTCGATTTTTTCAGGCGCAAGGGAAGGTGTTCAAAATGAAATCCACGCTGGCAGCCTCGGCACCGAAACAGTACATTGTTTGGATTGTTGACAAGGCCTTCGCGAACATTAGTGATTGGGTCATCACCGTCGTTTTCTTCCCTCAGCTTCTCTTCTTGCTTGGCAGATTTCTTTACAGAGAATGCAGCACAAGATGGTCCAGGTTCATTGCAGCTACTACAAGCACCAAGTCGAGGGGCGAGGGGATCCTTCTTGACCGCTAGACCGATACAACGTCGACACTGCATAACAAAATTTTCATGGCCAACCTTGGTAACCATGTGTTCTCGACCTGCTCGATATCCCAAGCAAAGTCTATGTATCGAAGATGAACATCCTTGACAGTAAATAAGTTCACTTCTGCCTTTGTTGGAATTCTTGCCTGTTCCACCGCAAACATCGCAGTTTTGATCATGAAATAAACTGAAGTCGGAGCCCGCAGATACCGGCTGATAGATCTCTCGTATGCTGATGATTTTTGGCGTGCCCCCCTTTCCAGCTACCTCATCAGCAAAAAGCTCTTCATCGATATCTCTTTCCTTCATGCTTTTGTGGGTTTTATTTCCACGTCCCGATGTGCGAGATGGGAGCTCTTTAGACCACTCAGAACTATCATCAGATTCATCACCTCGATTTTGTGGTCGTCCACGTTTGTTAGAGTTCGAGGTAGCTGCACGAGTGTTGCTTGTGCGTGGTCTCTTTGGTTTAGCATAGGCTATATCGCTACCCTCAGACTCGATTTGCACATCAGCAGCAAGTTCATCTTCATCTTGTTCCAGGTAATTAGCAGACGTATTTGCTCTCCTGGGAGCAGCAGATCTTGTCGCACGTTTAGGCCCATGACCATTTGGTTTAGTGAGTTCCGATTGGGAACCATCCTCATCATCCTCATCGTTGTCGGAGATGAGACGTGAAGAAGATTGCCGACTACCACCTCTAGTGCTTCGGCGTGCTTTTTCAACGTCAACTGTTGACATATTCCTCTTCACGAGGTGTCGCTTCATCTTTCCGTTTTGTGTGGAATACTCATCGTCAGAATCAGAGCTTAGCTGAACGTTGCTGATATCGACAAAATCTTTATTGGTCGGCTGATGATGAGTACGTCTGGAAGACATGCTCCGATCAGAATTTAATGGCATGTCAACTGAAATCGACTCCGAGGATTCTTTGCTATTGAAAATGTCCAAAGCGCTGTTGCCGTTTGGAAGATGTGACAATCTATTCAAGGTGATCTGTGATTTTCCTTAGTTAGAGTTTGCTCTCAAAAATTTGAAGCTTCTCATGCAAGAAGTATGAGATGATTTGAATTATATAAAGCAGAGGGGATTAAACATTTCGTGAATATACGTTCGCGCAGTTTGACTGCTGCCCAAAAGAGAAGGGACTGATGACTCCATCAAATCTATGACAATAGGGTGTTTGGAAGACTGGTATTTGCCCAAGTAGGGTAAAGAGGAGGAGTGGACAAGTGTCTGAACGGACCAGGGTTGATTCTGGTGAAAAAAAAGAAAATCGATATTGATGAATCGAGATTGAAAGAAGATATGTCAGGTATCGCAGCATACGTAACAACAAGGACTAGCTCATAGTTTTTTCTGAGATGCTGGGCGCAAAGCAAAAGTGAATTGGTCAAAACTGCCGAGCTCCGTGCCAAAGTCAAGGTTGAAGTCAACACGAAGAAGGCTGCAAGGAAAGTAGAAATAAAAGAAATAAAGTACCAGAGTTGAGCGGAACAGCGGGTCTCTCAGATCTGGTCTTCTTTTAAAAGGCTGTCAAGCACTTCAGATGGATGGCTAGTCAATCTGAGCATAAGAATTGCACATGCCAAATGTTCCGATAGGTGCTGTAAATATAACAGTGTGCTATCCGCACTATCTTTCGAAAGCTGGGTGACTATCTGAAACCAAAAGGCTCACTTACTTTTCCTTGCCTCTCATCCTCGTATTCAACTCTGTACAATGTTTCGCCATCAGAACCAGTTAACTCTTCCAGTACCGAATTTACTGTGTCGTCCTCCTGGTATGGCACAAAATCATCGGGGTTTTTTGGTCCTGGTACCATGACGACTATTGTGTTCTCTGCATCTTCGCTTTCGTCTTCGGCTACCTGCTCATCTGCGGTCTCATCGGTATTGCCGTCTGCCTGGACAGCATCAGTTGAGTTTTGAATTGACTCTCCGACTTGACTTGACGATGCGGATTCGGGCATTCGGTCGAGCTTTGGTGTGTGTCTACTGAAGTTTTCACTATTTGGTGGCTCGACTGTTTCGATTTCTGACTCATTCGAATCAGCAATGTAGTTTCGTCGAGCCATGCTGCTGGTGGAGGTAGATGTTTCGTTTGCTTGATTATGTTGGATAGTCGCACTCGTGAGATTTGAAAATTACAAGTACCTAAATAAAAGAGTTTAGCATTTATGAGATCGTATAAGTGGGTTCCGTACTTATGATTGGAATAAGTGAACAAATATTGCTGATCAAAGGTTGCTTGCGACCATATTTCCCAAATATTTATAAACTTTGTTTCTTTACACCCAGTGTTGACGCGGCATGATGCAGTAGTAAAGTTTGTTGATGCTACGAAAGGTGAGGGAAAGACTGCTAATACTCCAAAAGATGGAAAGTGAAAAAGAAATGAAAAATCAAATATGATACGATCTAAAAGGCTTCACCGAGGTTGAACAATTTTTCAATTTTAAAATTCACAATGAAGTCAAATTGGTGAATTTGATAAACGCGTCGATGAACGCCAGTATTAAAATTCCCCGAGGTCCGCATTAGCTTCCGGTTCGGTGGAACTATAATCCGACCACCAAAATTTTAAAGATTAATTTTATTTTATCTTTTCGTCACTTATTGATGTGGAAATATTATATTATAAGGCACTCTTAATCCAATGAGTACAATCCTTCTCACAGGGGCGAGAGCTTCGAAAAGAGTAAGTTACATTCTTCAACCCCTATATTCATCTTCTTGCTCTGTAAGATATGTTTCAATCAATTCTGGAATAAACCGTGGTCTTCGGAAGTCCAAAGGAGTTGGGTTTAGAGGAAAGGACAAAGGTCGCCCGAGTCGAGAAGATGATGGTGGTGGTCGAGGATTTCAAGTTACTGGATCGAATCCGTATGCAAAAGGGCGACAGGATAGGGGCTCTGCCGATGATTCTGGGAGCAGGAATAAGTCTATGCATTCGCGATACAAGCCGGAAGGTCGCGATGATCGATCGAAGCCAACGTATAAGTCACCCATTCCCTCTGGAGATCGTCGGGATCAAGGGCCTTACAAAAATGGAAGTCCTGAAAAGTCGCATCGGATTAAAGCCAATGATGCTCATGAAGGAGAATCTTTTGACAGGTATAAGGAGCCCCGAAATAGCAAATCCGGTTACGAGAAGAAGTCTTATGGGGCTCGGGACGAAAAATCTAGTTACGAGAAGAAGTCTTATGGAGCTCGGGACGAAGCGCCTAGTTACGAGAAGAAGCCCTCTACCAGATCCTTCGAGTTTCCAGGAAAACGCTCTTTCGATGAGAAGAAATCTCATAGCTCTTATGGAGCTCGGGACGAAGCGTCTAGTTACGAGAAGAAGCCCTCTAGCCGATCTCCCGATTTTCCAGGAAAACGTCCTTTCGATGAAAAAAAACCTCATAGCTCTTATGGGGCTCGGGACGAAGTGTCTAGTTACGAGAAGAGGCCATCTAGCAGATCCTACGAGTCTCCAGAAAAACGCCCTTTCGACGAAAATAGATCATCCAGCAGGCCTTACGAATCCCGTGACAGTCGCCCTCGGTATGAGCAGAAATCGTTTTCAAATGTTGATGATGCGAGTAAGCGAATAGGATATGAGAAGGGATATGAAGGCCCTAGGAAGTCGCATAAAGGTTTTACATACCCTTCGAAATATCCTACCCGCGAGGAACGACTAGCAGTCAAATCTTTTAGGTCTGGATCACCGTCAGAGTATTCGCATTCAGAACCTCCCTTGGAATCTCCTCCCCCGGAATCTCCCACTACGGATTCTGCACCGCTCAAATTCACTTCCAGCTTCGCCAAAAAAATGCCCGTTACCATACCATACACCACACCAGCCTCTGAATTTTTATATGGCACGTCAGTCGTCGAAGCTGCCCTACATGCGCAAAACCGCAGAGGCAGAAAGCTCTATAAACTTTACATTCTCAAGGGCGAAGATCGTCAGAACGCAGAGCGAGACGGCGTTCTAGCAAGATTAGCACAGAAGAAAGGGGTCGAGGTCACCACAGTAAGAGGATACGATTGGCTCCGAACTCTTGATAAAATGAGCCAGGGACGTCCACACAATGGATACATCCTCGAAGCCTCCCCCTTACCTCGACTCCCCCTTCTAAGTCTCGGCGAAGTAATCGACCAAGAAGACAGCTTCGCCATCAAACTCGCCCTCGACCACCAATCCCGCGAAGAGATGGAAATTAACGGCACCGACACCATAATCAAAGTCGGCAAAGCTTCCACCGGGCGCAGACCCCTGGTTCTCCTCTTAGACAGTATAGAAGACCCTCAAAACCTGGGCGCCATTCTCCGCACCGCAGCCTTCATGGGCGTAACCGCCGTCGCCATCTCCACACGCAACAGCGCCTCCTTCACCCCCGTCGTCTTCAAAGCGTCCGCTGGCGCCGCCGAAACCATGGAACTCTTCTCGGTAAGCAAAACCGCCGGATTCGTCAAAGACTCTCAAACCGCGGGCTGGAAAATCTACGCAGCCGTCGCACCCCCCGCGCCTAGAAGATCTGATTCCAGATACATGTGGCCCGCCACCTCCACAGAATCCATCTGGACCCACGATCTGCAAGATCCGCTCCAAGAAAATCCATGTATAATAATGGTAGGAGGCGAAGGCGAGGGTCTGCGCAAACACTTGAGAGATCTGGCCGATGTGCATATTTCGATCAAGGGGGCAGCTTTGAGGGGTAAACTCGATAGTTTGAATGTCAGTGTAGCAACCGGCATGTTATGCGATGCGTTTGTGAGAGAGACGACGAAAAAGACGGTCGAGGAAGCAGTTAAGGAAGTTGAAGAGGAATCGGAAAAACTGGATGATAACCAGATTTTCTAAGTTGTTTGATTATATGAGTTGTATGATACTATGCGCACTTGCAACGTTGTATGAAATCTTAGAGCTAGAGCTAGAGCTAGAGCTAGAGCTAGAGCCAAGCAAGTAATATGAATGTCTAGATACCCATGAAAGATGACTTATGTGTTCAGAATATCTCCTGTGCTATGATACAGACAGTCACCATCACTAATCTTCACATTACCACATGTTGCACATCACATATCATATCATAACACAACGAGAAACATCAGCTCAGAAATGGGTATCATGAATTCAGTTTTATTTTTTCTTATACAGGTAGCATAGCTAACTGTACATCCATAAATGTATGCAAAGAGCATAAAAAAAACATACCAAGCTCCAGACCTGCAAATCAAGTTACCTGCGCCGCCTAATGCAGGGTGGATCATATGCAGATTAAACCGCGCTAAAGTGGAATATGTGAGAGAAGAAGATGTTGCGCGAAAATTTGGACTGTAAGGGCGGATGGATATCTTGTCGCGGGTATTATTTGGGGTTGGACGGTAGATAGAGCGAGGGGCAGTGTGCCAAGAGAGTATGTAGGGTGAGGTATAGATCATGTAAATTTCGTGTGAATGATATCGGGATTCTCGTGCCAGTCGTCAATACTTACCCACATCTGTAAGGTACATTAGTAATCTTGTCCAAAAAAATTCCAGATTGAAGCATACCTTTCTAAATGTGCTCAGTCCAGCCAGTATACTACCACCGATCCAGGTTGAGTATTTCCTCTCTGGTGGAGCAAAGATCTTGATTCTCATATCCTTCACTGCCAATCTCTGCACTTCGTGTAATAATCTGTCTCCGAATCCCTTGGTTAAAGTACTTCCACCAGATAAAACGATATTGCCGAATAGGGACTTTCTCAGGTCCAGATCTGTGCGATTGATTGCGTCCACCACAATTTGATGGATGCCCGGGTATTCCAACCCAATAATCTCCGGATCGAATAGAATCTCAGGTGCCCTGAATCTTTCTGCTCCAATCTGTGATATTGTCAGCTCTGCTGCTGCGAATCAATGCCTCAATTCTTACTTTAATCTTATTGCCATCTGGTAATGCATATTCGACAACCTTCCCATCCCCTAACTTTGCACCAGACCATTCCTTTTCTTCTCGTTTTGGATCTCCTGCGACATAGCTTACTTTCTCCTTGATCATCCTCACGACCTCCTTCTCTGCGCTAGTATGGAAAACATATCCAGCTTTCCGTAATAAGGTTTGCATATATTCTGTAACATCTCGTCCAGCAACATCTATCCTTCTTATTGAGCTTGGCATGGCGAAACCTTCGTATACCGGGACTGCATGTGAGACTCCATCGCCGGCATCAAGCACTATTCCAGTCGTTCGCCCTGATGCGTATAGCGAAAGAACAGCTTGGATTGATGTGTATAGTGCGGGGACGTTAAAGGTTTCGAATAAGATTTGTGCGGCAGTATCTCGATTACTTCGAGGATTGAGAGGTGGTTCTGTCAACAGAACAGGATGCTGTACAAATTAGATCAGCCATCTGCCATATTACTAAACTTGCCAGATATAGAGCAATAGCAAACAGTTCCACCTTAGATCTAAATCCTAGAACTCACCTCTTCGCTCAAAGTCTTGAGTCCTTCTCCATATACATATTCCCATATCCTCTCCATATCATCCCAATCCGTCACTATGCCATGTTCCAGCGGGTATTTAATCTTCAGCAGTCCTCTTAATTCTTGCGCACGCTGTCCAATAAACACATCTCCTTCCAAAGCACCTGCCAAGACCCGCAGATGCTTCGGCCTGCCTACGAATGAAGGAAAATAACATTTTGGTAGATCGTCACCAGCAAACCCAGCGCGAATCGTACCGGAACCATTATCTAGCACTATGGGTGCGTTGTGCAGTGTGTCCGCCATTTTGATTTTGGGGTGGGCTGTGATAGAGAGCGAGCCAGCGGACGACGAAAACGTGAGGTGTAGTACCAGGTATTGGAAGACGGTATTAGTCTTTGGATCTTTGTAGTGACGGAAAGCAAGAGGAGTTGGCGGTTGTGGCAGTGGAATTGATAAATTCGCTACTCAGTACTCCTGTGTGTCGCGTTTGAACGCGAGCGCCAAGATATTTGACAGGGGTAGCTTTGACTTCAGATCTCACTTTCACTCCACGGCAATAATTCGGCAGTCACAAATTCAGGTTTATACTCACTTATGATGGGATTTTGATTGTGTTTGCCAATATTAAGTAGTAAGTAAGGCTTTTATGATTCAGGCACTTTGGTGGGAATTAGCTGCTTCATATTGGCTTATAACGATGGGTTGATGAGAACATCCCGAAAAAGATTCATTAGATCCATGAAGATGAAGTTGACTTTTTTGATATTATCTGATTCGGATGTCACTCCCAGAATCCCGGGGCGCTTTGCTTGCATATCCTAAATTTCGACAATACTAGCTTTTGTGAGATTTTTGACTCGAAGCAAGCTGGTATTATGTGCGATACCTACCTAGTAAGATGAGGACTTACACTTTAGGTGAAGCACGAATCTGACATGATCTCACATTCAAAAAAGGCATGCGATACCAAGATAAAGACATCGTCAGCAGATTTAAAATTCACCGGTCAATGTTCCAAACCGTATGCATAAATCTTGATGTAGACTAAAATATACCCGCTCATATGTGTTGCTAACATTCCTGTGTTTGGATATATCATGGTTGCTATGCATCAGAAAGAGATATCACTGAACGCAAATACTTCACACGATCGTTGGAGCCAGCGGAACAAATGAATAGTGGTGAAGGCCACTGCGAGGAGAGTTTATCCCCAATAAAGAGTTGCAGATTTTGATGTAAGATCTTATTAAAATTCGGCTTGCACCTTGCTAAAAGACCTGGGAATCTTCTCTATACAGCGTACCTCCTTTAACGCCTGCTCGAAACTCCTTGAACTTGCACGATGCCAGTATGTACCTATGTACATCATAGCAGGTATCAGGATCTACGAAGACCCTATAATTTACAATGTTTTAGCCTGGCTTCTGTAGAACGTCACACTCACCAGGCAATGTACCATTAGTCCGAACTGCAGTCCAAATTCGAAAGTTTCCAATGCTCGAAATCAGAAACCATGAGACCGTGTTAGAATGGCCCCATAGTCTTTCATGCCTCTCTCCCCAATAATCGACAGATGGCGCGATATGATGATGGAAAGTAGGTAGTGATGCCATATGGCTTAAGGTAGTCAATGGACTTCTTGATCCGTTCATGGATATTCTCGTCGAGTTGTCGATCTTCACGGTCCGCTCTGTCGAGTAGTTTTTCCAATTGAGTATCTCCAATCAAATCAAATTCTCGATTACATCGAAATTTGCCCTTGGCGGTCCAACCATAAAGTGGACCTAGTCCTTTCATTTTCGTGTATGAACACTCTCCGAGGAAAAGCATTAGATCAATTGCAGGAAGCAGCCCTCCCAGTTTGTGACTAAGCCTCACAACATCGTCGATATATTCTCTCATCTTTCTTCCAAGGAGATCGCTGGTGGGACTGGAGTGATCGTTGATACAAATGATGAGTCTGCGCTGCACAGCAGCATGAGCATCGGCGATTCTTGCATGAAGGTCATCGACATGCTTTTGCACATGAGCGCTCTCCACATCTGGCATCCAACTTAAAAACAGTTTATAAGATTGTGGGAAATATCCAGAGTGCCCTGTAGTTTCAATCTCGTCTATCAGAATTTCCATGGCATCGGCAGGTCTGAAAGTTGGGTCTTCCTGTTTAATTGCCTTGGCGACTTGTAAGAGCAAATTATCAGCGGCTGCATCAAACACCTGGTGATCATGGTCGATTTTTAGGTGATCCAAGTTTGAGTGTCGTCCTGCAAGTAGAACTAAATCGAAAGCCCATTTCTTACCCTCGTTCATAAAAACCAATCGCTCAATACTTGATATGTGGCTTAGCATCCTCGAGGCCAGGGTTTGCACTTGCTCGCTGGCCCTAGACGTGGTTGTGTCAACAGCTTTGGTTACTGCATTGGTCGCTACATTTTTGTAGTCCAAAAGAATATCTCGTGATATCTTTTCAGAGAAATTGCGTACACATGACGGTTCGACTAAACTTATTAGTAGGTCTCTGCTATGCTGTAGGTGTGGAGTCATGTTGAAAATGACACGCTTGAATCATGATCTCTCTTGTTGAACATCCCTGAATTCTTGTCCAGGATCAAAGTTTGGATCTTCTCTTTTCATTCGCAGGAGGAGATTGTAAACAAGCTGATCGAAAGAAACACATTCAGCCTGGAGGATGTTGATTTTTGGCATGCCTTTATTCTTCTCAAAAGATTTTGGCATAGGTGATGCGAGAGCTTAAAAGCGTGTGGAAGCCCCTGAGACATATACGATAGTTGCTCAATGTCCTTGATGAACTCTTCGGTATTCGAAAACCAGGCGCGACGCCCTGAATTCCGACATTGCTTGCTCTCCTCGTCAATCCAGGAACGTATTGACCGTTCGTAGAAGTCTCTTGATGCGAAATCCTGATTGATGAGTTCTTGAATTTTAATAGGAGCACCTACATTGCTTGTTAGCCATGATCTCAGAAGCATGATACAATTTGTAGGATCCTACATACGATCAAGAATACGTTCACTGAGAATGAATTCGTATAGGTCAGAGATATGAGACTTAAGTTCTTGGATTCGTTCACCATTTTGTTAGTCGGGTCCACTGGCTTCACGGACTTCGCTGGCTTCGCTGACTTCACTGGCTTCACAGGCTTCACGAGCTTGATGGGCTTCAGTGGCTTCATCAGCTTCATTAGCTTCATCGGTTTCATTCTCTAAATACGTAAGCTCGGTACCTGTCTCATATGGCCCCTCAATTTTGATGCTTAACCCACTGGCTTCAATCAAAGCATTTGCGACGGGTTGTACCTGGTCTATGATGTGCTCCAAAGACTCAATATTCTCTGTGTCTTTGACCGCTTGGGTGTTTTCAAGCTTGATGACTTTGCTTTGAGACGCCTCTGAAGTGCTTTCATCGACATTCTTCCTCTTGCAAGATGATCTGGGTGACATTTAATTCCGAATTTTATTTGTTGAATTGAATTGCTCCTGTTGAGTTTGGCAATTGAAGAGTAACATTAAGCGCAGATCGCGTTCAAGCGCGTCGCGCTTGGATTATATTGCGCTGCCACGTGATATACACAAACGACCACCTCGCATTGTACGGATCTGAATTGAATACCGGTATTGAGAGTGCTCAAGATATTTGTGAAGAATGTGGGAGGAGCCGGGCGGCTGTACCGGCACAAAAAGGTATACTGTCGGGCGCGACAGGAGGGGGCTAGGCCTCCGCTGGAGAGCGCTAGGCATTCTATCGGGCTATATAAGACTACGATATTTCCCTCTTGTTTAGTTCTATAGTTCAATCAATTCTTATATGAATTTACTACTACTACCGACTTCTACCACTTCTTGTACGCTCTGGGATTTCATCACAAAATTGTTATTCAAAAGTAGATTTCTCTTTACTACCGAACATTTTTTATTTCATTCTTGAGAGCATCCATCTAGAGTGTTAATGAAAAGTAGGCTTGCTTTCTTCGTTGATCTTATGGAGAGGACGTCACGGTGTTTCCAAAACAACGATAGAACTTTGATATCGATTGCATCGACTAGCTTGCCTGTCTTTCTTATATCTACTGTTTGAACAACTCGATCGATTGGGGGAGGAATGAATTCAAGAGGTACTTCGAATACTTCCCGTCCTTGCTACAACATCAACAACTACTCAATGGGAAGCCAGTTCCAATTCTGTCAATCTACATCTGTGTTTAGATCTTGCTATGCTTACGATCCATTAGATTCCGACTGACTATGGAATCATGCAATCCAGTCAATTAATCCTCCAGAGATTGAAAGTACCGAGACTCGTCTGGCTTCACCCTCTTATATATGGATTCATTGAATATGGCATCTGCCTTGACTAGATATCTTTTTCTATCAGACGTTTTACGTTCAACGCTTTTACCTTTTCCGCCGTGACTATCTGCCGCATGACTGCTCTCGAAAATATGGTTGTCACGAACTGATGTACTTGCAAGCTGTTTTGGCGTGGAATCTTTGGCTGCGAATATATTTTGAAGAGACTGAAGTCGATATCTCATGCTCATGAGCATGACTTCATGGCGAAGGAGCGTGTCACGCATTTTGTAAGTGCCTTGTGCGTGGCCGCATTGTATTGTATTCAAATATTCATTGAAAAGTGATTGCAGTGCCATTGACGTGAAGCGACCGTCCCTCATAATATGGGACATTCAATTTTTGAGTTTTATAGATTCGAATGCCTTTGGAAACTTCAGTATTCTTGAATTTTGAATCTTTTGTAGTGTTAGAAGCTTTTGGATCTTATAATAGACAGAGCTAAGCTGCCAATGCTTTATAACGGAAAAGCAAAAACCTCTGTAACATTGTAATCTATGGAATTCTTTTTAATCCTGAAATTGGAATCCCTGTGATATGGGAACCCGTGAGAAACTGATGTACAAAGAAGGAATCCCTAATTGCAAACCTTTGCTCCCAAGCCATCCATTAAGTATCCACGAGGAGCTAAAAACTCTCCCAGATACCTCAGTCGACGCCTAAATTCCTCCTGTCCAATTTTGCACTCTATGGACCACCAACATAGCAACAAAACAACAACAACAACAAACAAACTCCCTTTCCAAATCGTAACCAAGATCTAGACCACCAAATCCAAGTCCCCAATACCCCCACCGTAAGCGGGCCCGTAATAGCCCAATACAACCAAAACCACTCGCTCAACACCCCACTCACATATTTCGTCTGCCAATCAAACATCGATCTGCTAAAAAACACTACAACATACCATTAATAAAATCGCAATACTTCTAATCGGTTGTCAAAAGCAAGAAAGATATTTCGAATTACAAGATCGATCGACCGTCATACATAAGTCTAAAAGCACCCATTTTCAATGTCTCTTTATTCCCATTCACAAAATTATTTTGTATGATATTAGAATCGAGCCAAAACATGCTAATAAATGCACGTTACCTCTATTTTCCAGCCAGCTGAGAATCTGGTCTTCCAATATTTTTCTACGGATCACCTCAGTGAGACCATTCTTAAATTTCAGCTGATAATTCTCCAGGGTATTAAGATGATATACACATTTCTCGGTCATATTTACACAAAAGTAGTCCTCCTCATTCCTCGAACAGAAGAACTTGGAGCCGACGAAGTCGGCGTTCTTTCTCCATGTTCTACAATGGCGGGAAATGCACTAAGATGTCTAGCCTGCTTCCACGGTGGCATCGCTCTAGGGATTCCTTGAATATTGAAGAAAGTACGAGTATGAAGAAAGAAGTTCGTCCTAAGAAATAATCACGGATTCCGATATGCGTGGGTAATCATCTCGCCATGAAGGAGTGGCCCCCAGAAAACTTAGCCGCGTGTAACCACATCATACGTAACTCGATTAAGCAGGTAATATATGTTTTCAATGATAATTTTATTGTACTGTCATTGCGCAAAGCTTTGCCTTGGGTGCTGACTACACCAGGCACCTATGCATTAGGTCCCGGGAGATGAGTAGGATAAATTTATTCATCTCCACTTTTTACACCTGCTCCCACCAACCCACCAACCCACCCACTCACCTATCTATACATACATATCAGCAGCAGCCAATCAAAAGTCAGAATAGCAAAAACCAAAATGGTAAAATCCGACTTCAAGGATATCGAGACCCATAGGGGAACCCTTTTCAGGATTTTAGGAGCAAGGTGAACCCTTCGAGATGGGATCACACAGGACATCGTATCAAACACCCCACCCACCCTAAGGTGGTTATAACGCAGTGATCGACCAACTGCGCCAGGCGACTGATGAGGTGTTTAATAGGGGAGATAGGGATTTTAGGGTATATATTCATGTGAAAGAGGGGTAAGACTATCTATCTTATGTTTCCCAATTTAAATATACACGCTATTTTTATTATCTGTCATCTATCATTATTCCATCTCAATATAAGTTCACGATCTGAGAAATAGAGATTTATTAGCTTGTTTATACGTATATATTTACCTAAACCTTTTCACTGTACTTACACGATTTGAATACTGAAATACTGAATCATACTACGCAACTACGATACAAATATATATCACACTGGCAAATTCTAAAAACCATCTCATAACACTCATTTCATCTCATCTCATCTCATCGCATTCAAAACTCTCAAAAAATCAAAAAATCAAAATCAAAGCTACAACCCATTCCACCCCTTTCCCCCAAATCAATAATCAATCAACATCGTTCCAAATTAATAACCTCTCTTGCTCTTTCTCTTTCCTCTTATGCTTAACCAATTAAAAAGGACTCACAACTCACAATCATGAACAAAACGAGGTCTGAATAATCGCAAATACAACTATAACTACTCAATTATATCTGATTCTCTAGTAAATCTAATTCAAATGTCGGAATAGCTCTGTATTGCCTTAGTACTACAGTGGCTGGATGATATTGCGGTTTATATGAGGATATTGAGAAGGTTTGCCGTCGGATTAGAAATGAACTCATCTTGTTTCCTGTGCCTTCCAAGCCAGAACTCTTCATTCATAGACGTTTCATCCACATTTTAGGAAGAACAAATAGATTGTATATATCCCTTCGTGGAGTTTTCACTCATCACAAAAATGTTCTTCTGGGATAGAAATAAGTTCGCATATTGATCTTCCTGTCAGCAAAATAAGAAACACAGAGAGCTATAAAAGTCCCGAGAATCATGGAAATTATTTCATTAAAAATTATTTTCAATCAACTCAATACTTTCATTCGATCCCATCAATTAGAGTTTGCCACAAAAATGTAGACACTTGTCTTGACCACCTCCCTAATTATGGTAATCTTGACTTTTAACGAAATATTTGAAGCTTGAATTTGCCCATATCCTCAATTCAGAGATTCACTTTCAACGAAGAGTTCTATGAATAGTCTTCAAGTATCATGCAAATGGAGAGTTGAAGAGAAGGGTGACGGATTTTGCGCTAGGGGAGGATTGGTATTTAAAACACCGGCTAACTATGCTATGGCGGCTAACTATGCTATGGGATCCGAGATCTTACGATGACTAACTACCTGGGCGGCGAGAGATAAACTGTGGTTTTCAGAAACTAAGGGGTTCACCATAAGCCACGACGAATATGCTATTACAAATTACTGCGTTAGTAAGTTTAAAGTCGTCCGATGAATGTCGATTGAGAAATTCTTGGCTAATCAATGTTATATATGAGGAGACTTTCGACGACGCAGAGCAGGAGACAGAACTTAGAAGGTACACGCTCGATCGATGACGTAGAGTTATCTGGGAATGATGAAATAGTGCAAGAGAAGTTGGAGGCGGAGAAAGTTGATGGTGTTCATGATGTGGCTGTAGAGACTATGGAAAAGCTTGCTTTAATACTGACTGAATAGGTCAAGGAGTAAATGAGAAATTAATGGAATGAAAGGGGTCTGCCAGTTTAGTCTGGTTGTGACAGTAGAGATATTTAAAAAGATTGGTAAGAGTGGGTGGACGGTCTTTATAATCGTTCTACTCACAGTTTAGAAATGAAAGGAATGGGTTCTAACTGCCGATATCATCTTTCATTCATTTTCAACTGTGTCCAATACCCCTCATCCATCCCATGAACTAGGGACTCTTTAGTAAATAGTCTTTACTCCCAACTTCGCTTAAAGCACCGCAATATTTGGAATATGATAATGTCAACCTATGACTACAAGTTAATCACCATTTGAAACACTCCGAGACCCCACAACTTCCAGAAAGGTCTTGCGAGGAAAGTACTGCACTTCATGAAACTGCTACGTTCACACTACCACTAGGTTCAAGTTACACCGCTCGTTAATTACCTTTGTGACTAATCTCACCACGAACGAAAGGTTGGTCTCTCGATACCCTATGATCCTCTGATTCCAATTTTCTTCAGTTTCAACCTCCATCCACCGGTATCGAACTTATCTCATCAATAACCCGTACCACCATATCCAAGAACCAAGAACCAAGAACCAAGAACCAAGAACCCTCAACTCCAACTCCAACTTGAACTCCATCCAACCGATCGAAATTCTACCAAAAGGACTCATGTGTTCCGAGTATGATGTGTCGTTGTATAGACATATTGATTACCTGAGGTTGAATATCATGGATAGGTAGGTAATATCTGCAACCGGCAAATCAAGGATGTGTTATTTAACGCCTGAATCTTGACTTAACGTTGAGGATGAGGATGAGGATGAGGATATAGGAGTAATTCCTTCGCTTTCTGGCATTCAAAAGACATTTATACATTGGGATATATATATCATGGCCATAATTGATCCTTGAATCTCAATTTCTATCAGCAGTATCGATGAAAATCCTCTAGAAGTCCTGGATCCCCCAGAGTCTCTCAGATTTAGATAGTATTCGAAACCAATTTCAACAGAAGACACAATCGACACATCTATTCATAGCCTCAAATCCTATGTATCAACCAACTTTTTTCTTTCCATGAAACTTCGTTCATGCATATCCTCCCACCCAAATGCGAAACTGGACATACCGGTACCTAAATCCCACGCATCATCTAGTATCATCCAATCCATCTTTCATCTCCTTCTTAAAAGAAAGAAGCACTTCCGGCCCAATAACACAGTAACGATAAAAAAGCCCTTCACACTTTGACCAATTATCCCAAATACTAAATCAAGTCACCAGCTCCTATATTCCTGATCGCAATTTTCACCGCTTCACCACTTCACCCTTCTTCACACGCCCACCATATCCCTCTCCCTCTCCCTCCCATTTCCACATCACACCAATCCATCAAGACCCGTGCCCAACCCAACCCAACCTTACATCACCAAACTGCACCGCATGCTCCTCTCCTCTCCTCTCCAACAAAACAACGCATCCCCTTGCTCCCTCTCTCCCTCTCCCTCCACCCTCACCATACCCTACCCATCCAATGATTCTATACCAACTCCTCCTCCTTCTCCTCTTCCTCTCCCACATCCCACTCCACAAACCACTCACAAACCACTCTCCGCCTTCCTCCCCCCAAGTTCCAACTAAACAAGACTCATATACCTAATCCGCTATCTACTATCCGCTATCCGCTATAGAGCTACTGCACATATTTGACTACCGGTATTGTCCCCTATACGAGTGAGTATACTATCCACCACCCCGTCGTTAGATTCTTCACATAAGTTTTAGCCGGCTACCCGGCTACCGCCCGAGTTGCGCGATATGATTTGGGATTATGCATTTCCGCATACGAATACGAATTCGCGTGCAAATGCCAACTAATGGGGGACATGGGGGGGAGGGTTACTAGGAGGATTGAATCCTCGGTCTTGACGGACGGACAGAGTGGAATTATGTGTGCTCCGTTGGTTCCACTTTGTATTGAGGAAGGTGCTGGTGCTGGTTCGGAGTTTGTTTGAATTGAGAGATCGCTATGCGATGCATGCGTTCTCAGCGGATAGATAGGGAGGGTACTCATTAGGTTTGGGGGTTTCCAAAATAGACCTTGGAAAATAATGGATACGTCTTATTAATAGTCCTGAGATAAACTCATAATCGCTATACAATTCCGACAGCCTGATCCATCAATGAATGCTCTTTGATAAACTTGACAAAATTCACGCTATTCAATGTCGCCCGTAACATCATATTTCTCGTAACTTCATCCCGAGTGCCCCTCCTAAACGCCATGCTATGCTATGCTATTTCTTGGAAACCATAGATATGTATCAGTGGCCCAGAACATAGTCTTAAGCCCCTGTTCCACCCTCAGGCCCACCTTTAATCTTGTCTCCGCGTTTCCAGAAGTTTTTTAGTCCTTTTTTAATGGAATTTGGCGTCTGTGGACTTTTATCCGCCCCGGTGCTACCCCCAGGTATTGTGGGTTGGTTCAACCCTAATATATTTAACATACTCAATCTTCTTTGCTTCTTCTTCGCCGCGAGACCAGGTTCAGGGACAGATGAAGTAGGGGGCCATTCTCCGTCCCGTTTCCATCCTTGTACACAGCTCTGTATGACATCGGATAAATTGATAGGACAACTAGGTGTCATTGATTGCAAGATGACTTTGTCGTATATCGTGCTGTAAGCTTGAGATGTGATGCTCGATCTCATTGCATTGTCAGGTGGTAATAGTGGTTTGGCAATCGGCACTTCCGTGTCCCAGCCTTCTTCATCCGACGAATCGACCACAGCTGTACGGAGACTTCCATTTGTGTGGGCTTGTGTTTTTTCGATAGCGCCGGGGTCACGCCAAGCAGCAGGAGCGACATGTCGAGCACAAGTCCACGCGTCACGTCGTTCAACATAACAGTGTACCCCTGTATTCCATTCCATTTCCGCCGCAAGCTTCTTTTTGTGTTTGCGTCTTCGAGCGGCTCGTCTCTGTTTGACCAATTGACCCACACCATCGGGACTGTCAAATCGGAACGGGCTTTCCTTGTCCGGAGAATTTATATTTACGGGACCTTTAGGGGAAGTGGGGTTGTCGCCCTCGCTCTCGCTGGGATCACTTTCCCATTCATCTCTTTGTCGCCATTCCTCCTTGTATGCTGGACTGTTCGTACTAGTATTTGAGAGATTATCCGAAGAAGGGTGTTTAGCCAATGCTTCCATAATATCGATAGAGGCGTCTTCTTCTGCTGGCCGCACCCAATTCCAGTCCTGCTTCACACGGTTCTCCAAGTATTGCCTGACAGCTTCTTTTTGAGTCGCTCTATCCTTGCTTGTAAGTTCAGCCTCGTAAACCGTCAAGGCGTTTGGATGTGCCTTGACTCGAGCCATCTTCCGATGATTGACTTTGATCTTAACGACATTCATATTTTCCTTCGAAGTGCCGGCGAAGTTGGTAGAGGTGGCGTGGTCACTCGAGATTTGTGGATTGGCAGTAAGAGTCGGTATTGATGTTTGACAATGATGTTGAGTATTATGAGATATTGCGGATGTTGTAGTGGTCGCAATTGTAGAAGGCTGAGGCTGAGTCGAGGGTTTTATATTTTTGAGTGGTCGTACGATAGATGTTGGTGGTGCGACTATTTAGGAAGCAAGCATGATTAGAATATATACCTTTCATTAAGTATTCACATGATTTAAAAAGTAAACATTAACGGCTTGTCATACCTGAACTGGAGTTCTCCGCATTCACTGTCCCTCCATCTCCGCCTATTAATACCATATCTAGTATCAATTTCGACAGATCATCAACATCAGGACTTTCGTGCAAGGCAGAGCCTGACTGTGAAGGATTATCTGGAGCTTTGAGCTCCAGTCGATCTGATGAAGATACATTATCCAACATTTGAGATGTAGATGATTCCAAATTCATCTTGGCTGTAGTGGCTTCTAGAGCATCTTTAGCATCCGTACCCGTAGTCGCATTTAGCGTAGAAGCATCATGGCGAGGGTAGTATTGTGCTTCGGCCGATGTAATAGTTGAGTGATTTGCCACGCCGGCAGATGGTTCTTGAGACATATCGCATCATTTAGCAACGAATTCAAAGGTATAACAAAACAGAAACAATTTATATATATTAACAACTATTGTGGTAAAAGATGCGAATATTGGTGAGGGGTAAAAGATTATTTCACAAGGCGGAAGATCTTCTTCTTTGCTATTCATGACTAATAAGCACTAAATAATTGGTCCCTGTGTTAGTGGCTTGGCGTTTCCTGGGGAAAGATCTAAGGACAACTCAGTAACCTTGGAGTGATATTTGAAGAATGTTGCTTATTTTAACGTTAATTGAACATCTCACCATTGCATTGGGATTGGAACAATTTTAACGCTTTTATTTATCTTCAAAGTACTTATTATCTCACTTACTATAGGGACAAGATAGTTTTCTAGAATCAGCAACAGTCCTCCGCATCTCGAAGCGCAGTTGCTCTGGTAATGGAAGTTCTCTGCCCGAATCACATCTCTGTAAAGGCTGCGAGTACGTTCCCTTCAAGCTAGGAGCCGTTCGTAGTCCTAGTCTTAGCTTTGGGGGATTCAAACACCAGGATACATGTGTTATATGCGTGATTCTGTAGGTGTTTGCACGTATTGTAATTACATTAATTTCCTGGTTGGCCTGAACAATTGAACGGCTCTTCAATACTGTAAACCTCAAATCATTCTCCAGTTACCGGTGCCAAAAGCAGTTTTGTTCTGGGACAAAGGCCAAGAAAGCATCCCCGAAAACTGGTACAGACATCTTCCCGCAACTTCCCACCGTTCCTCTCCGCCACAGCCGATATGCTCGTAATGATACTGGTCCCGTGGACGGCAACACTGGAACTATTAATTCTTTCGCTGGCGTCGATGTTGGGAATCTTACCGGCGGCACTTTCAACGCTGCTACTCTTATTCAGGGCAGTAACTTTTGCTTGTTTTGCGCTGCAAGTTATACAAGTTGGTACTCCTACTTTTTGCGATATTCTCTCGGATGATACATTAGTTGTAAACTATTTGCTTGAACTGTCTTATATCATTGAATTCGCTTTCAATTTATACAACTTCTTTCTGTAATACATGAAATAGGTGCTTCGTGATCTGCAACACTGTACCTCTAAAATGACACTGATAATTTATACAGATACAATCGAAAGCAGCTAAAACAAAAGCTAGAAGAAACTAATAGGGGTTCGAGGCTAGAAGTGGATGGTGGGGAAACGGTGGAGGGAGCTAGCTTAGATCACTAATGCCGGATGTGGCATTCAATTATTGAAAGATGTTGCTTCTATGAGGAGAGCAGATAGAATATGAAGAAACAGTTGCTAGCATCTTACTTACATCCCGAACCTAAATGATGCACGACCAATACCGGATTCAAGCCTATGGCAAGTAACAAGATTTTGTTGCACATCTCATTTGGGTCACTTCCCGTCAGGCCATGTTCTTGAGCGGGTTACTGCAGATAAGATGATGCACAGTAATATAAAACTTAGATGCTTTTGTCGGGTATTTAATGCCATTGGGTATTACACTTCGAAGAGGAGGCACTTTCTCCACTCCACCTTGACCTCAGATGCGGCCTTCTGGTAGACTATTGAAAAGCCCTGCACATGAGAAAAGAAAATAGGGATAGGGAATGATGTACAGACAGAAAGATTGTAGCATGTCCTTAACGGCTTTGTCTCTTCATTTGCGCTTGCAGGGTGGCTGACTCTGATCGACTCACAAGACTGTAGGCATCGGAATATGATGAATTTACCTTACCTCCCATACTAACAGAATAGCAATTTACCACACCGGCAACCCCAGCTCAATCATTCCAATCAACTCCCACCAAAAGTAATGTTGCATATCTTCAGAGGCCGCCGACCTCATTATCATAGAACCTGTAAGGAATGACACCAATAGTAACATTCGGATATTGTAAATCTTACTATACGGAGGCCGTTTCGGAGGTCGCATCAATTCGGGATCTGTAATAATTGGCTATTGTGGAGATACTTTTATTTTATGGTCAGTATTATGGTCAAGGTTGTGGTCATGATGATGTGGCAATATTGGGATCTGCGAATAATATGAGACTGGAGGGAATGAGAGCGATTTTGAAGTTTTTGATCATGAATTGGAGAGATATTGTAATTGTCGTTAGATCTGGATGTTCTGCATGTATACTGTATGCAGTGAGTGTGGCTTGAGGTTGGCTCAAGTTTGGCTCAAATGTGGCTGATAGACTCATGTATGGTTACACCAATCCCGGACAGTAAAAGAAAAAAGTGGAACCACGTCACTTCCGGGAAGCTGCAGAAGAGCGTTTGTTACTGTGTTCCCTTCGTAGAACGCCGAAGAACCACAAAAGATAGGATTCATTCAAGAAGAAACGCAAGAAGAAGCGCCGCCACCAGAAACAGAAACTTCCATCGTAAAATCTTATCCAATGATGCCCGAATTTTATGTTGGCCTTGTCGGCGACCATTCATAAGCCTAGACCTCCTTCCTTCAACACCGGTGAAACTTCCGGAAAAAGCAAAGTCCGGCTTCGGGGATCATCTTACATCTTGAAGAAGTTAAACATCCATCAATCAATCCCTTGCAAGTAAGAATGGGATTTGTTGCACGTCTAAAAAGGCCGGCAACCTGGTAATTCCCTGTAAGGGATTCATATCGCCGACAAGGGGGTTTTACATGGAATGTTCGTAAGTCTCACAATGTTCTATGGGGATAGGGTGAGATGCTGACTGGAGGTGAGATGGAGAGGCGAGCTGGAATGAACTCCTCAAGGTGGACAAGAGCCCAGTTAAAAGAGATGACAACGTTTTGTTGCATGTCTGGAAAGGTCGGCGACCTGAAAATCTCTTTTCAAAGTTCATCTGGTCACCGGGTATCCACATGGTATGATAAAAGCTCAATACTTGAATCCACTCAGACCTCACCGTCAATCCCTCAAGAGTCAAGTCATACATTCTCCTAGGCATGGAAAAGAGATGATCGATCGACAGTTGAGTGGATAGAAGGTTTTGTTGCATCTCTCAGTCGGCGACTTGATTTCCTACAAGCTGTGCCAGATCAGCGACAGCCTTGGGAAGCATAGTTGCCACTGGTATAAGGGCAAGTGAGATTAAGTCCGAAGTGGGACTGTCCAAGAAATGAAGGCAACATATTCTTTTGCTTCTCAAGGAAGAAGTTTTTGTTGCATGTCTCAATCGGCGACCTGAAAACCAAAGGGGGTGTCTCCACTTGGATCAAGTGCTTCTATACGGGTCAAATTTCTCATTTGTTGATCTATAAGTTCATCACGGTCAAAGTAGTCAACTACCAAGACAAGATCACCGCAATAAACCCCACCAGAAATGAAAAGTCAATATAGTTTGTTGCCAAGCCTAAAAGGCCAGTAGCCTTACTATGTTGACAAATTTGTAAACAGGATCCATCTGGATTCTGGATGCTTTATTTTCAAAAATATCATGGTCTCAATTTCGGTCGCTGTAAGCCAAAGACCCTGCTGAAAACAATCTTCTCTCCTTATTGAAATTTCACAAATCAATTGCAAGTCTCAATAGATCGGAGACCTTTTTGCCCAAATTCTGTCTGTTCCATCGGTTGATTGATTGAGCATGAAAGGTTCATAGCGGGTCGACATATTTGACATATAGACTCAATCATTCCCATATTCAACTTGGCAAAGTACCCCTCTATCATTGCGGATTGGTATGAATATCAGGGTACTCTCGTCCTATCCATCGAACCCCTTACCTCGATCTTGGTGTAGGCGTGATGAAGGGTAGAGATGCTTTTTCCCTCACAAAGGTCGACTCAGTGGTCTACTAATATGAGAGCTGTAATAATGTCTAAATATTTTATTTTGTCTTAGACTGGAATATTCAGCCTTTGGCACTTCAAAATTTACCATAGTTTCTTTCCCTAGTCCGATTTCGATTCTGCTTAATTATTTGTAACAATTACTAGGCAATGAAATTGGAGCAGGCATAACAAGATTCATGGTTGCACATTTGAAAAGGCCTCCGGCCCAAAACATCACTCAATCTGCATTGCATTCTGCTCTCCACGCTTCCCATCCTGTTCGGAGATATTCGGTTCTCCAACTCTTATAGAGACCAACTCAAGATATGCAACATCTACCTACTTTTCAGGCAATGAAAAAATACGAAGATAGTGATAGTTGCACATCTCAGAGGCCACCAACCATTCGTTGATATGCATTTCGTATTAATTGCCAGATTCTTCTCTTATTGCTCAAACAATCTTACTTTTTGGTGGCTGTGGTGGTTGTGGTGGTTGTGGTGGCCCCCTCCCAAAGTGGCCAAATTGACGACCGGGTTACAGCACATCAAGGAAATCTATCAACGTGCCGCTAGCCCCAACATGATTACAGCCCTAATCTAAGGAGCTGTATTGCGGGCCGCTTGAATGAATGTTCTGCGCCGCATACTGAAAACCCAATCTTGGGGTGAGGATCGAACTCTGTTATTGCCAGTATTCTTTGACTTGCATGTCCCCGGACTGTTGTGATGTGGCGGGGCTTGGGCTAGGTCCCATAGATGATGATCGTGCCTTATTGTCAGGATCTTGAAAGAGGTAGAGAGGCTTATGTGCTGACATGTGATTTTCGGCCGCAATTAATCCTAATGAGCGAAGATAAGCTGACCAACTGTTGGTACTAAGGAGGTCATAATTACTCAGTTCCATCTGTTGTGAACGGTTGTTTATCCAACACTAGCCTGCACTTCCTTTGATCAGCCCATCTTCACATCACTTCTCTTCTCCATCTTCGTTCACCAAACACCTTACTAGCAAACATTTAGTCATGTCAAAACCAACTATTGTTATGGTCCCTGGTGCATGGCATAAGCCATTCATTTACTCCGAAGTTGCTGCATCTCTTAGAAATCACGGATACCCCACCGTCAGCCTTGCCTTGCCATCCGCCGGCGCCATCCCATCCCATCAAGACTTCAGTGGCGATGTAGCTAGTATCCGAGCCTGCTTGACTGAGTTTGTCTCCGCTGGCAAAGAAGTTGTTCTGGTTGTTCACTCTTATACAGGTCTTCCCGGAGGTGAAGCTCCCAATGGGCTCTCTAAGAAAGATCAAGAGGCCAAAGGGTTGAAAGGTGGTGTCGTTAGATATGTGGTTATCAATGGTTTTGCAATGCCTCCCGGTTTCCAAGCAGTGGCTAAGGGTGATTATGCGAAAATGCCCGAATGGATGAAACTTGATATTGAAGTAAGACAGAATCTCTTTCAAAAACTCCATCATGACACAGATGAGTTCATCGGAAGTCATAGCTAATTGTATTCTAATCTTTCAGAATGAGGTTTGCACAGTCGAGCCCGAAGATGCCAAGAGAATCTTCTACAACGACATTCCATCCGAAAAGGCAGACAAGCTAATTCCCGAACTACTTCCCCAAAGTCTCGGTGTATACTTCAGTACAACGACTTACGCGGCCTGGCTGGACATTCCCTCAACATTCTTGTATGGTGAGGCCGATCAAAACTCTTTCACACCAGAGTTGGTGGATATGATGATTAAGGGCGCACAATTGATGAATCCGAGCGCTTTTGATGTTGTGGAACGTCTTAAGGGGGGTGGTCATTGCCTTATGATCGGTCATCCCGAATGGACTGCTGATGTTTTGAGAAGAGCTGCGGGAGAAAAGTTCTGAGTGGCGGGAGATATCCGGTTGCAAATATATTTGAGATGGATTGATTGGATAATTTATATAGCTGATGCAGACGGTATTTGATCTTCTGTTTCCATAGCTGTTGATGTTGATATTGCTTCCTCGACGTAAGTTTCATTCGTGCAAATTGTGTCCACGTATATTGTAGATCTGACACAACACTTAACACATTCAGCACTACACCAACAAGTAACTATACCTTCTACCACAGCACCAGGCTGAATTCATTGAGGCTTGCAAAATAGCATAGGGAATTTAATCTATTTTCATTGCTTGTCTAGATGCATACAGTACAAGTATGCGTTGAATACCCCGCTTAGTCTACACACTAGCTTTGGGTCATCTACAAATTTTTGGTTGATTTATCACCATCTGATCTGTGCATGGTTATCATAGTTCTAGTGGCATCTTATGTTGAACTTTCAATGCTCTCATTATATAATCTCATATTTTCTCGCTTTTTTTTTTTTTTTTTTTTTGACTTACAGTAGCTATTACAAGCTCCTACCCTCTTTTTAGCTTCACGTGCCGCGGAAGTAACGGTAGTCAACTATGCTACTCGCGCGAAGGCAATTAGATTTAAATTGAGTGTTTGCCGTGCTCTACTTTTATTCTCGTTCATTTATCCATAAATAATTCAATTCACAGGGCACTTGTTAGTTCGATTCTCGCTAAGAATATACAATTTATCTACCCCTTTCTTATTGATCATAGCGGGAAGTATCTATCTACGGAGTAGAAACCAATTCTGTCTTCCACATGATTCACATTTATTGTGTGCCCTAGAACCCTAGAATTAATCTAATCCCCTTTCCCCTTCCCTTTCACAAAACCACCATCCTATTATTCCGAGTCCAAACCTCTCTCTACGGCCTCGGAACTCTGTCCGAATCACCAAATGATACTCATAAGCGCTCTTCCTCTCCCACTCCTTTGTCCCTCCAACCTCGGCACTCATCACTAATCTCTTCTCCTCGGCACTCCATCTACTTCCTAACACCTAATCCCTAATTCCACGATCACCTAATTCTCCCTCCGTCCCCTCTATCTAATTGGACACCATACGACCTTAGCGTATTTAACCTCCTCATAAAAGCAGCAACTTCCTAAACATCCTTTGTTCTCTTATTCCCGAACGTTCCTGAAACCATTTTTGAGGCATGTAAAAGCAGCAAATTCAAGCAGCTAGCTCCTAATTCTTTGTGAAGGGAGAATATTCCTGAATCAAGATATCAAGCGTTCTTTGTATGGTTTTGTGGTTCATGAATCAGGATGTCAGACGAGCTGTTTAGTGATACTCGAGTACACTGGATTCGGCAAGTGGAACGTGCTGGAAGCGTGCGCGCAGGGGGTGCGTCATGGTTCTTTGTTGAAGATGTGATGGCTGGTGAGGATGAAGAGAAAATTACGTAGAAGCGGCCGTAAGGAAACTTTTAGCGTGAAGGAGTCGGGGAACGGGACGATGGCCGCTCGGAGGTCGGTGATGGGGATGGGGATGAGGAGAGAGTGTGATGGTATTAGGTGATTGAGATGATCTGGGTAAACGGGTATTTTTTATTGTTGCAATGATACAATCGTAGCTTCACGGAGTCCGGCAAGGTGGGATACTAAAAATGAAGAGATCAGTGGTGGTTGATTATTAGGTAGTTACTAGTAGGCTAGATGATGCCTGTGACATATCTCAGTCCTCGACCCAAAGAACTGTGGTCACAAGTATCTGGAACGAGATTGAATTGAAGTTTTTCACAAGTAGTGAACAGAAAGAGTGTATTCGAGGAGTCAAAAATCGGAGGAATCATCCCTATCCCACAATTCCTCGATTCTTTTGCCCAAATTTACTTTACATTTCAAAAATACCAATAGCCCTAACTTCCCAGTCAATCCACGTGCATTTTCTCGATAAGTGAAGGCATTCTGGAAATACTCAGTAGTACCTCCGGCTGTATCGGCGTCGTAGATTCTTTGTCCCGTGGTCACGCATAGGAGTCAACAGATCAGTAGTTATGGTCACGATATTAGAGATACAAGGAATACTAGAGTAGAGGTGAGGATCTAGTCACTTGTGTTTTGCCCTCGATCTACCGGTATTTGCTAATATTTGCTGCCGTAATACCGTTTCCTTCGGAGCTGCCGGGGATACTTTTAGATGTAGCTCTGTGCAATGATTGATTGATCAGACTGTTGTACTTCGCGAGGCTGATGGCCATCTATTGAAGTGTACTCGTAGTAATCTTTGGCATTTGTTAAGCGAGAGTATAAAGCATGGTCTGAAAGGTATTGGAGTTGTCTATTTACTATGCTTGGGGACAACAGTGATGGCTTGGTATCATTCTTGACAAGGTCAATGGTCCATTTTCCAAATTTGTGTTCGTTCAATAACTCAAAAAGTCCGGCGTGCCTAATATGCTCGTATACATGCGGTCCATTGCCATTAGATATAAGAAACATGCAACGCTAACTACTTGAAAACTCTTCCTCAATGACTTTGTCATCCCTACCAAGGCGAGCAACAGCCTCTAGAATCTTGTGTAATGAAGTTCCTTCTGTAATTTAAGGAACAGACTTCGTACAGCTAGTTCTTTCTCTACGAGAGCAGCAATGCTGCCTGTTTCTATAACCTCCAACGTCAATCCGTTGTCGTTTCTTCCTTGGATGGATGTATGATTCTTTTTGGCTTTGGTGATTGTGTGCAATAAATAGCGCGTATTTGTTGTATATTCTCATTGTGCTAAGATCTCTAGTTGAACGGCTTTAAGTAAAGTAGCCAAGGGCCTACTCGAGTAGTCGCTGGTAAATCTGCCATGCAAAAAATGCGTCGAAAGTATTGAGCTTGTAAATTAAGCGGGCTAGAGTCGGAGTCCGCTAGATTTCATTCATATATTCCCCGCTTGATATTCATTTCCCTATTTCCCTGGAGTTGTACATATCACTGGCAAATATCAACATAAGTTATGCTATAAAGACACAAGAGAGTGGGTATACAGATGTTCAGAAGTCATCATAATTGTGGTTTTATAACAATCTATTTGCTAGTCTTTGCTTCCGTGATATAATTTTCCTTCGTAGCAGTCAGCAGAAAGCATCGTAACTGCATCTTAGACACCATTGATATCTCAATCAACCACCAAATCAGATCTCCGGAGAGGAATCTGGCTCGAACTCGCGAATCTCGAGTTTACCATCCTCATCCGCGGTTAACAACTTGTCCTTCAACCAATTCCGAATGCACGTGCTGGCCACAGACATATCAACAATCATGATTCGAAGACTTGTTGATGAATGTTCATCCATGAAGACGATTAATGCATAGGGATCACCTTCATAAGGATCACCCTCATATCTCTCTTCAAGATCATGGAATATGCGTTGCCACTCATCTACAAGCCATCTCTGATACTCATGATCACTTTGAATTAGTTCTATGGTAACCTCTCGAAGTTTATGTCTCGGAAGAGCTTCCATCGCTTCGACGATTTTGCGGGTAGTAGAATATTTCTCTTCGATAAAATCGAGACCCTCTTGAATTTCTTCCATGGTGAGCTTTTGTTTGTCGATGAGTTCAACAACAAGATCTCGAAGTTCAGTTCTGTCGAGATTCGCGGCTGGTTTGATAGTTAGCAGCTTTAACTTGTTTGTAATGAGCATGGTTAAAGGTTACCGCGTACCTGACTCGAGTAAGTTTTGACTAGCAACAGTACGTGCCATGGCTAAAATCTGTGTTTTGAGATCTTGCCTCGTAGAGGTTATTGTTGTGCCGAGAAAATCTTCTGCTGACTACTCAAGTATTAGGAGATGCTTTTGAGTTGACAAGTTCGATTATACATACCTTTCGCTACGTTGTTTGCGTTTGAATTTTGAAGTTGAAGAGGAAGAAGAAAAGAGCGGGAAGCTATTTAAATACTGCGCCGACAGCAACGAGCTGGTGAGTCAAGTGAACCGTACCGATACCGCATTAGTTCTATCCCCACTTGATATTCACTCTCATGTTGTCACTGTAGATGCATATGTAAATATCAATATGGTGAGTCAAGTGAGCCGTACCGATACCGCATTAGTTATATCCCACTTGATATTCACTCCTATGTTGTCACCGTAGATTGATATGTAAATATCAATATGATAAATTGTGATACCAAAAACACGAGGATAGTTTTGCAGATTTAGTCAATTGTGATTTAGCATGAATCTATTTGTCCATAGTTCCTCCATCAAGCCATTTCCTTTCTTAGCTAGTAGTCACCAGAAATCTCCCGCAGATTTACCCTGTGTATCGATCCCAGAAACCGAGTCGATCTTAACGATTTTCCCAAGATCCATATCACTCAACAGTGTCCGGCGCGAACTTGCGAATTGCAAAGGTGCCGTCCTCTTGTTTGATTAACAACTTATCCTTCAAGCCCTCAATAATCAATTTATTACCACGAACAAGTTTGATGACGGCATTATGAAACATCGTTATGTATGAGGGTGAAATAGCGAATTTAGTGACCTTATCGCAATGTGGCCAAATCTTCGCTTCGGCTATAACAGATCTACTCTTGAATTCGCTGTGAAACCATGTCTGAACAAGCCGGTTGTCCTCAAATAGATCATTAATGATCTCTTGAAGCTTATATTTTGGAAGTAATTCGACGGCTTCGACAACGAGTTTATGAACCGCTAGTTCTTCTTTTCTAATAACATCAATTCCATTTGAATATCACTCATGTCAACTTTGTTGTCCTTGATGAGGTTTGCAATGACCTTGCCAAGGTGATTTCCAGATAGATCGGCTAGTATAATTATTAGCAGTCATTCTGATAAGAAGGTTGAGAAAATATACGCACCAGACGTGAGGTCAGCGGGGCCAGCAGAAGGAGCCATGGATGTTAAACCAGACTCGATGTCAGCGCGACCAGACCAGAAATCCACCCCTCTCTCCTTTGCCATTGCGATCTCACGAAGGAGTCGCTGACTCTATGGTGTGAGAGACTGTTATTGACTGTTAGGAAAGAAACAACTTTAGATTGATATGCTGCTCAAACTTACCATTTTTACGCTGTTGCGGTTTCAAGTTGAAAGTTGCTGTGGAAAAAGAAAAAAAATAACCAAGAATCGCGACAGCAATACTGACCTTGATAGCTTGATAGCTAGAAGCGAACTAAACCACATTAGTACATATCCCGTGTCTGATATTCACTTTTATCTTGTTTACTATGAATTTAGCGCGTCAACATCATTATCAATATCAATATTATATTATTTATTTTCATCTTCAGCAAGCTCACTTATATCTCGAAGTATCTGGATGACAATTTGGTAACCTCTATGATTCAAGTAGGCCTCACAATACATTTAGATTCAGAAAGTAATCGATTATTAATGATTGTATAGCATACCTTCTCTCATATCCTCGCCTCGATGCGCTCGAACTCGCCTGGTTATATACATCAGTATTGCATATGACATGATCACGGTAAATTCATCCACAATCTGTAGTTAGATCGCCCTTATCTCAAGATTTAGAAATACATGCACATTTTCGTCTCCTTGCAAATCTCCCATATTTGAATGAAGTTCATCCTTCATAATCACCCTTAAAATATCATTCTTACTCGGCAAATAATTACTCGTTTTTCTAAAATCTGTTTGGCGACTGGTTCATTAAAAGATGCTGTTTTCTGTAGGATTTCGACGAGCGGGTTTGATAGAGTGCTGGGAGAGGACTGTGGTTTTGGATTAGGTATCAAAAGTTTGTATATTGCCCGGTTGCGAGATTATAGCGAACGAGATGCTTAGAGCAATCTTTCAACGATGATAGTATCTATATGATCAGTATCGACATGATCGATAGTAGGAGAGAAATTCAAGGGAGAGTTGAAAAGAAAGGGAGATGTTTATTTGGGATGAGTTGTACATATATTATCGAATAGGCTAATTAGATGATTGGCTAGTTATTAGATAGGAATACCACAGGACGAGAGTAGATATTGCTATGCTACCCTTCCGTAAATTGTCTTTTTTTCATCCCCTTCGTATCCTTTTGCATACCAACCATCCCGAGCATATCCAGAACATCAATCCCAACGCCAAAGCAAGGCCCCCACTCCCCCCTTTACCCAACCTCTAATCATCAAATTTCTTAATCTCAAAAGTACCATCCGCTTTTCTGTCCAACAGCTGTTTCACCAAAGACTTCCGAACTATCTTATTTCCCTTCACAAGCTCAACAATCAACTCCATCAACTTGATCACCAAAGTCTTTCCAATAACCATCGCATCAACATGTTCCACATCCAATTCCCTCTCAAACCACTCCTTAAGAAGTGAATCATCCCTAACGAGCCAAGTCGCAAGTCTTCTGATTCTCGCTACCGAAAGCGTATCGATAGCTTGTAACAACAAGATCTGCATATCCAAATCCTTTCCTTCAGCTCTCTCAAGAAGATGACCAGCTTCTAATTCACGATTCAATTTCCTAGCACAATCTTCGGCGATGAGCTTGTTGTTTCGGATAAGGTAGTCTTCATATCGATTGTATATTTGCCTGGATGAAGTTAAGGTAGGGCGTTCTGGGGTAGTTGAACTACTCCTAGGAGGAGACGGTGGTTGTGATGGGGGTGTCGGTGATCTTAACGTTAAACCCTTAGGAGGTGAAGATGAAGGTTGTGCGACTAGTTGAGCTGTTAGTATTCATCAATGGAGAGATTGGAGTTTCGTACGTACTTGATAGATTATTCATATCTAATGTCAGTGGGTCACCAAAGACAGGCTCACCATGAATATGGAATTCCATTGAGAAAGTCTTTGGTTGGTTGCGGAGAATGTTTGGGAAGTTTGTATTGTTGATATGTCGGTTGGTGAGATGGATTAACTTTGTGTTTTGTTGGAGTTTAAGGTTGAAGTGGGAGGGGCCAGGGAGGAAGAGAGGAAGCTATTTAAACCTCTTGCCAGTGAGTAAGAGGTTAGTTTCTAGAAGAACGCTAGGCCAATACAGCTCACTCACTACCGTACTTCTTTACTGCTGTAGGAGACTAGTAGTACAGAAGTATTCGCAGTAGTGTATGCCAAGGATGGTAGTACTCATTATGAAAATATATAGATATGTTTTGTATATATGATTGGATAACTTGAATTCATCGTTTGCTTCTCACTAGTATACAAACTAGTATCAATACTGGTATATCACTTTAATTAGTATATCCTCATTTTATAGTCAATATTTTCGAAAATAATTATATATATTTATCAATTTGTCACTTTACGAGTATTATTATATTACTATATAATTATTAAAGTATATAAAAATAATCTATAATCTATAAATACTTATAAATAATCTAATCTCAGATCATAGATTATTTATTAAAGTTACTTACTAATATTAAAATTTCAAAATAATCTACTCTATAGATAACTAAATTAATAAATTATAGATATCACAACTTGAACTAATCTATAAATTATTTATTCAGATTTTCTAATCCTAATAACTCATTTCTAACTCATTTCGCTAATCATAGTAAATAATCTAATTATGAATTAAATACTAGTATTAGTTTATTAATAATCTGCTCTATAGATATCTATTATATAATCTAATCACTACTAGTATATCACTATCATATTATAGAAATAATAAAACTCTAAAAAGCAGCAAAATAATATATATATACTAGAAAAGAATCAGTGCTATTTATTAGAATTTAGACGTTATAGAATTTCATTATAGATAATTCGAGTAGTAGTAATTTCTAAGAGCCTGAGAGTAATAGGTTTCATAATTTTTTCTATATAGTATACTCGAGACTACTATACTATATAACTATATCTCAATAATTATTTCGTTAAGCAATTACTCGAGTACTAGATTACATATATATAAAATTCAAAAATTATATTAAAACATCAAGCCTTATATACATATATTCAATTCAACTCTACTCGAGTACTCAACTCAACTCAACTGCCCAAAAAATATACAATCCCCACTACCCCATCCCCACTACTCCATCCATCCATCCCCATCCCCATCCCCCTCATAGAAACCACCCACCCGCAAACAATGCATTCATTACACATACATCTCCTTCCCCTTCCAATCCCCTTCCTATACCCTTCCTATACCCATCCCATCCCATTCCTATCAAATCGCAACCTCCCCCATCAAATCCCCACAAAGCCTGAGCCCCAAATATGCCATCCATGCGATTCCATTCCCATCACACTAAAACGCCATTCCAATCCAATCTAATCCATCCATATATCAATCACATCAACCCAATCCAACCCAACCCAACCTAGCCAATATCAATATCAATATCATCCATCGCAATCATAACCCTATCCCCAAACCCAAACCTAAACCTACGCCTTGCCATCAAATCATCCGATTAAATCCCACCGCATCGCATCCCCTACCGTGAAACCATTAAAAGAAACATTTTTTCCCATCCAATTCATTCATCCCTTTATCGTATCGTAACAGACATTTAACAAACCAAAAAGTAAAAAGCAAAATGAAACAATCTTATGAAAAAAAAAGAAAACATGGGAATAATTCTTAAACCCATCCGAATCCAAATCCAAATCCAAATCCAAATATAAACAAGAAACGCCCCTCGTATATGTCATATGCCATATTTTCCCCTTCATCTTTCCCTTCAAATTTCGTACCTCATACCTCATACTTTGTACACCCAAAAAGTATTCATAAAAATATATGTGAAGAATCAAAAACATCTTCCTCAAGGAGAAAAATTGACTACAGCCATTTCCATCGCAGCAGCTTGGGTTGGATAAGAAGAAGGCATCGGTGGTAGCGGTGGCGGTATTTCATCACCCAGTCTCTTGGTTGACGAAATATTCAACACGCGGTACAACAAACTCTTCCTCTTCCCATCCGCGCGTTTACACGAAAGATGTTGAACGCCTGCTGCATATTCAGCACGAGGACCCATCGTTCGACCACCACTTGGAAGACGCCTCATGGCTGCTCCGAGTTCACTTCGATGGTCCCAGGATGGACAACTTTCGCCACTCTTTCGATCCAATTCTTCTTCCCATCCGTAGATATCGGTACTGGTACTGCTGGTACAGGAATTGATGCTAGCAGCCGAACTCGAGTAAATGCTACTGGCCGAAGAACATGCGACGCTTGCATCGGCCGTTGAAGGTTCGTCGGGAGATCGATCATCCATAATTGTGTTGGTTGATGAAACCGTCGTGGCTAGACTGGTCCGTGATGCATGAGCTTCCGAATGTGCTGAAATCCAAGTACCATTATCTTCCTCAAAATCAAAGTCCGCATGAACTTGAGTATCAGTCATGATCGTTTCTGAAGATTGCCTTGGCTCATCTCGTTCGAGAACCTTCGCTGGTATGTAAAATGGCAATCCTGCAACTTGCATCATCTTCCCTTTGACATTCTCCTTTTCATTTATACATGACCCCACTTTTGCGGCCGCGTCATCCCCTCCAATACCTCTACTCATACTCCCACCCTGTTCTATGTTCCCCCAAGATTTGGACGATCTGTGAGACCTAGAAGACCCAAATGAAAAATCCTTTTCGTTGCTGTCAACATGTGTTGATGCCATAGCTGTAACGAGTGAAGGCCGACGTCCCGTAATATCTACTGGTGAACCGGGATGCGCGACCATGAGTGGTGATGCTCCTTCAGTTGCTTTCAGCGTTGTATCGACGCGAGGCTGTGATGACTTCTTTGTCATGGTCGAGGCGTTTGTGGAATTTTCCATTGGCCCATTTACGGGGCAAGAGATGTTAGAAAAAGCATCAGAAAGTGATGACGAGGCCTGTCCCCGTCATGGTTGACTACCACTATGATCGTCGCTCCCACTGTAATCTCGTGAACTACTTGTCGATCCATGTGTCGATCGACTTTTCTTGAAACCGAGTTTTGCACTCATCTTCTTCCAGCTGTTACTCCCTTCGCGAGAATGACGTGGACTCGTTCCAGGTGAGTCACTCATGAAACCAGTATCTGAAGTTGGAGGGGTCGTTGGTGGGGTCAGCAGCTCCACGGAAGATGGCGAATCCGTATCATCCGTAAGACCATCGGGGTCCACAGAGGAAGCTCCTGAAGATCCAGAAATAAATGTTGATAAGCGAGAGGAAGTTGCGCGACCTAATGCAGCAGTGAGATGCGAATGTTGCGATAATCGTTGTGATGGAAGGCTATGGGAATGAGAAACCTTATCCTCACTAAGAGGTGGACTTCCTCTTCTCGCGCGTGATCGAGCAGGCGATAATGATCGCTCGTCCAACGATCCAGCCATAGCAGTATCAACAAACGACTCATTAGAGGCCCAAGGGCTATGCTCGGAACCACGTGACGAAGGAGCGATCGAGTTCAGGAATGGAACTAAAACTGATTCATCCATCAACTCATATATGATCTTGACCGCTTGGTCCAATTCTCTAGGGTCTGGAGCCGCATATACGTTTGGCAAACGCATCAGTCGATCCCTAACATCCGAAGGTAGGTTTACTTCTCGTGGTCCGTTGGGCGCAATGTAAGCATCCAGTAATTTCCGCCATAACATTCGAACATATTCGCAATCTTGGTCGGTAGGTGATAATGGTGAATATGGATCTCTACCATATATCGTGTGGTAATGATGTTTATATCGGGTGGCATCCATGGTGAATTCCAATGTTTCCAAACAATGATTTTGTGACAGGTATGCCATGAAGGCGCTTAATGTCCATGGTGGCGGTGCAACATTCGACAAGACCTCTTGTAAAGTTGGCCGGCGTGGACAATAAGGACCAGGTGGTATAGAAAGACTCAAAGGCTTCGAGCTCGACGGCAGGAATTCTCCTGACGACATGAAGCCTTCGTCGTCCGCGTCGCAGTCCGAGAGGACAGATGAACAACACGGTGATGATTCTCTCGAGTACGTTTGAACGTATAATGGTGGAGGTTTTCTAATTTTCGATTTTCTCATGGCGCTTCGAAGATATCGCATGGATACTATCTGTGATATATTTACACTTTTATTGCTCCTCTCGTAGAATTTATCGGGTGTGAAGAGAAAGCCAAGTGCTATCGTGTGCCGCTCATTTGTCAGGAACAAATTAAAAAACCAAGTACGTCGTCAAATTAGGTGTTTGCTGCAAGGCACAGTAACTGGATTTGATGGAGCCCGCGTGGAAAGAAAGGTAGTCGTAATCTCGTGAGATGCAGGTTTCCGCAGAGTACCGAATTATGACAAGGTACTTTCCCAATAACCCATACAAGTGTTGGACCACAAAATGGATAACTGCACAAGGTAGTGACAGTTAATATCCTTCTGGAAACGAGTCTCCGATGTTCGGGAAGGCCGTGATATCAAAGTCAGAAACAAGGTCGTAATGCCGAGAGGCTGAATGAAACAGACACCTTCTCTTTTTTTCCCCCTGGTTCTTTTGTAATGCGACGTTATAATGTAATACAATGTGTGACTCTTTTATAATCAGACCAGGCTGAGTTTTTTTAAAATCCTTAGGGAACTATAATTCATTCGTTCCAAGTAATTTTGAAGTGAGTACCGGTAAGTTGTTAGGAGAAAGATTGAAGTCTAAGCAAGAGTAAAAGCCAGAAGAATAGAAAAGTCGCAAGTTAAATTTGGTTGAAGTGGTTCGTTTGATTTTTGAAATACTCGTAAAAGGAGAAGATAAGTTCTAGATTTCCTCAATGAATTTCTAGGTAATGTAGTTTTGAGAACGGACAAGACAACGTGGGCTTGAATTAGATAGGAAGATGATGAGATTGAAATTGAGATTGAGATTGAAGAGTTCCTTGTGAGTGAGAGTTCGAATTGATATTATTATGGATTGTATTGTGTTGTTTTGTGTTGTATTGTACTGTGTTGTGTGGTATTGTATTGTATTGTATTGAGAATGTTTGACGACGATGATGAATTGAATTGAATTGAATTGAATTGATGATGAGAATTCCTTTCCTTTTCGTAATGTCCGAATTTGCAGATGTTGGTGTTGTGGTACCTTACCTCTGTCTCTCTCTTTCTCTATCTATCTACCTATCTCAAGAAATGACTGTAGGTCGAATTGAGGCTGGCTGTGGACACTCTTTCTCGGACTTTTTGAAGATCTGAGAAGAAGAAACGGGTAATAGATGGACAGTTAAATTCCTATTATAATAATGGCGATGGGTGATGGTGAGTCGAGTGACAGATTCTTTAGAACGCAAAAGTGAGAATTATGGATCTTTCGAATGGGTCGAATGGGTCGAATGGGTCGAATGGGACCTGGTCCTAGGCTTTTCCTTTTTCTTTAAGATATCTTTACTATAACCATAACCATAACCATGATCCTTGATAATGGAGTTAGGTAGGGTAGGTATAACTCGAAGATAGGAATGGGATCGGGAATTCGGTATAAAGTACTGTAGGTCCAAAAGATCTAGTTGCTTATTTGAAGATTGAACACGAGGTTGGCCAAGGAAAAGATATATGAATTTATAAAGCTAATGTTATGCGAGAGACAATAAGGAGTAAATAATTGAAAGTTGTTGATTAATTTTTGGGAGATCTTGGATCTTTTGATGGGGTGAAAATAAAAGTTGTGGTGTGGGTGGTCCGAATGAGTGTATGTATGGGTGGTGTATCCAGGTCACTTGTGGTGTGTGTGTGTCTTGTTCTTGTCTTGTTCTTGTCTAGTAGTACGGGAAGACTGATTTCTAAAAGTGGCCAAGTGGCAAGGTATGGATGGGTTCAGGGGTTGATTGAGTACGGGTAGGAGGTAGGTAAGGGTAAGTAAGGTCTATGAGTCGTCGGATGGGGGGTTTGAAGAAAGAAGAAGAAGTGGATAGGGGGTGACGAAAGTGGTGATACAGATTTGTAGTTGCGGTTAATAATTGATGGCTAGATTCGAACGAATCGTTTGATCTATCATCTAACTTCTAAGGGATCGGGTAAGGGTAAATGTTGAATACCGGTAGAGATAGAAGATGATGATGATGATGGGTTGCAAAGATGAAGGGGGTTGGGGGTTGGGGGTTGACGGGTTGACTCGTTGAATGTTGGGTGTTAATAATTGAATGAAGTAAAATGTTGTGTTCGCATTCAATTAATTAATATCATGGATTTTCTTATTTGATATTCCTCTTCTTTTCCGTTTTTCGATAACCCGAACAATAAGGGTGAAACCTGTGATACTGATATGAAGATGGATATTATAACTGATATTATGACGATCTTTTCTCTCCTTTTACCTCTTTCGTTGATCAGAGGATCATCGTTGAAAGATGAAATAAATAAAAAAAGATCTTCTGGAACTTTTGATCTTCTAGAACTTCTTCTTCTTAAACGATGGCGTTTATAATAAGTTGTAAGTAACTAAGAATTGCCTGCGTGTGTATAAGTATCTATCTGAGACGATATTATCAATTATCAATCCACTTTACTAATCCATCCATTCATTCATATCCATCTATCCAATCCACTCATCCACATCCATCCATTCATCATCCATTAAAAGAGCAAGAAAAGAAAAAAGAAAAAAAAGAAAGCAATGATCCATCCACCACGCTAGAAAAGTCCTAGAAGCATCGGGGATTCAGGAGCCCATATTTTACGCCATCGAAATAAGAAAATGTCATATTTCTTTGTAAAAGGATCGAGGTATCTAACCAATCATGGCTTTTTAAATGCATTGAGAAGGGGTGGTGTGGAGTAAGCTAGTAGCTAGTGTGGAGTGAACATCATGCACGCGCCTCAATTGGGCTTAAAATCGAAGATCCACTGAAAATGCTTCTTTGATATGTATATAAATTAATGGGGCTAGTAGCTTAGTAGGGATATTGGGCCCTTTTCCCTTGTCTTTTCTGAATCATTGTTAAAGCAGCAGCAGCAGTATACCTAGGTAGGCAGGTACGTTCTATTCAGTCTAGTCCGACTCCGACTCCAACTCTTCTTTTTCCTTCCCTTCTCTGTTTTCCCTCACCCTTTCTTTTCTCATGAACATGGGAATAAACATAGTATACAATTCATGGTTATAGAGCGGGTTTAAAACTTTTTGGGCTATCCCATCGAACAACAAGAGTTTAGTGAAATTCTTGGCTGACTTCTTGGTTTAGTCTTGGCGGACATGGGGGTTTTTTTGGGTCTGCTACAGTACAAGCGCCTACAAGCCTACTACAATTTACAAGTGGTTGGCTACTTTTGGATAAATCGTATGATTCATTTGGATGCTTGCGGCGTTGAAATTTGAACTGGGCTTGCGAAGTTGCGCGACTGGATAATCATATCACTGGATAATCACTGGATATGGGAGGAATGAAAATTTTATTGGAGTTATCGGTATACCTGGATAGGTAGGTAAGTGGTTTAGGTAGGTGGTTTAGTTTATTAGGTAGTTTTGGTAAGGTAGGTAGGTATAGGTATATAGGTATCTAGGTACTACCTAGATAGTAATTATATTATTAAGCATCAAGGAGAATAATCTTTAACCTGTGATATGAATTCCTGAGCTCAATATAAAGAATGGAAGTTGGGCCGTTTGAGAGAGGCTATGCTTATGCTATACTATAATATTTTATGCTTAAAGATTAGATTCCCAATCATTAATTGTGCTACACACCAAAAATCAATTGAACCGGTATGATATGAGATATTGTAATAAAGGGGTACCTACTGGCGTGGCGTTCTTCCATTTTCATCCATCCATCCCTTCTATCCTTCTATCTATCCTTCCCTTCCCTTCTACAGTACAATACAAGAAACATGAACACGCAATTCCTGTCTCACCACTGTCACTATCCCAACATCCCACCCGTCACATCACATCACATCACATCACTACCGTATTCTATCCTTCTATTCATTCCATTCTATTCCAAACTCTTTCTATATGTTACTGTTACACACGGTGAACTCCGTTTATTATATACTCTGAGTACTTATTGTATAATTACCTAATATACACCTACCTAGGTAGTATACACTACAACTCTATGTTCTTTCCCAATCGATTCGCGAAATATACCTACCTATTCATCTATCTATCTATATATCTTTCCTGGTATACTATATTTACATCTTCAATTCAAGAAGTACCACCAAATATACACTATATCGTACACTATCTTCAATACCTAATCCTAAATTTTAACCAAACCTACCTACCTACCCTAACTTCCCTTCCCATCCCCATCCATCACCCACTCATTCAAAATCCAATCCAATCCAATCATGAGCCACAATCAATCCCTTCCCTCAAGAGTCAATACCAACCAGTATAATCCCTCACTTCATTGAAGATCATTCCATATCCATATCCATATTTAAATGAATACCGGTACCAATAGATACCGCAGTTCCTCAACTTTCATCTGCCGGAAACGTGGAACTATCTTATCTTCAAGAAATGTAGAGAAGTGCCGGTCTTTGAGTTGTACTATTGTATGTACTGAGTACCGGTTGATGAATGAATGAATAAATAATAAATAATAAATAATAAATAAATAAATAAATAAATAAATAAATAAATAAATAAATAAATAAATAAATAAATAAATAAATAAATAAATAAATAAATAAATAAATGCATTTGTCTTTGTCTCTATTCCATCTTC